TCAAATGGAAGTTACACGTACGGTAATATCAATTCATCTTAGCCAGTTGCTTAAGGCTTAAACATAAGCAGATAGTTCTAAAATTGGTTCTTGGATTAATTCCATTCAACATTCTGTGTCCTTTTTGTTCGAGCGCCTGATTGTGTTGATAAACAGATTGCGCGTTTAACCTTTTTTGCAGTCTAAAAGTATATTGACGAATATGTATAGCGCATAGCGGGCAAATATGCTGTTATAACGCTTTGCACTGCATTAGAATAGCAAGAGGTTGGTGAGAGATGTAGTGGTTACATTTAATATTACAAAACCAAATTAAAACTTACGGTTTTGCTTCTTTTCCTTAAGAACTAAAGAGCAAGGAAAAAAAGAAGCAATTTAACTGACTTCCTGAAAAAAATTATTTGTTACTATTATTCTGTCACGATAAGTAGTAATGGCCAATAAAAGTATACCTAATAATGTCCTTTTGACCTCATTTATGAAATGTGTGCATCAACTTACTATCGTCGTAAGCCTTCTTCAACTCATGAATTTCTTCATTTGTGCTGGAACAGATGACATCAATCAAGATGGTTTCGTCTGTACCAGCTCCCTTTATGGCTCGGTAGATCGACTTGGCGTTGACGTGAGCCTGATCGTAGAAGGAGTACAGAACGGCCAGGCGGAATTTGCCACTAAGCTCTTTGTGCAGTTTTTGTTTGAGATCCTAAGAAAACTAGTGCGTTTTGTAACCATGGAACAGCTAAGCACGTTAGCGTTTCTAACACTGCCTTAGAATATGCTCCTGTTTTGATAAATTTTGAGCATTCCACCTCTTGTACTAAATGTTTTAGTTAAGATTACGACTTGACGACTGCCATTAACACCTTGCTAAGCAAGGCAAAATTTTCTAAACCGTCCACCGGCTGCCATCAGTTTGTCCATTGCTAATTTTCACCTACACCTAATACTAGACCCATTACTGCGACATATGGTAGGAAGGAACTTCGTAAGATGCCAAACGTACAATTCCATAAATCGACTTGAAAGCGGCTTCAATTCGTTGTCTTTGAGAAAGCGAACGGCACGAAAGAATGTCGATGATTGCTTGTTCATCAGTTCCTATCGGTTGGTAAATATGGGGTTAGTGAACTACATCCTACAAAACATTTGATTATAAATACCATTGATAAGGCAGGGATTTAAGCACAGACTCATTTGACAAAATTTCTCAATAACAACGTAATTACCACTAGAACCTGAGGGGTTCGCTATCGGTCGGTGGATCTCGTCAAGGGTTTCACACAAGTGTAACAAGTGACACAGTTTTCGCCATAATTTTTTAATCATTATAGCATGATAGACTCAGTTTGTGCCTAATAATATTCTTTTAACACCAATTTTTACCGATCAAATCAAGTTTTTATCAGACTTATTTAAAACTAACTGAAGTATCAAATTGGAAATATGTAGTTGCTAAGACTGGTAATTGCTGTAAATGTCAATATCATTCTTTCTCACAATAATTGCGCTTCCATATCGAGCCACAAAAGAAAAGTGAGAAACTTACCCAGTCCTTTCATTGCCTCATGAAGTACTTCAGCATCAGCTTGAGCATTGAAGTTATTTGCGGGAAATACCGTGGCCATTTCTGCTTGGAAAATATTTTTTTTTTCGAGAAAGATCCGACTACTTTGTAAACCTAGTCTGAACCCACAACTCGCTTTGAAGAGATGGTGTAGTCTCTGGCGTGGAATCGTGTTTTATTTACGCTGCAAGGCACTTAAGCCAGTCAATCAGAGTCGTGAGTGGTTGCTAATATGCAAATTGAGAAGCTTGCAACTGCCGTCGTTCTGTGTGCATGGGCCCACTGAACGACGCGTGCTTCCTTGCGTGCATGACTGCCTGAATGGAAATTAGGCCTCGATAACTAAACTTTTGAACATTATTTGCAAAATAAAGGTCGATAATTCATCTCATTAATTTACACCTCAATTCGAACGATTGCTTCTATCATTTAATTTTAACCTTTATAGGATCTCCATCTACAAAAATGGCTTGTTGCGAAGTCGAAAGCCTGTTGGTGTCAGCTTACATTGCATTCAATTAAACGTGAATATTTTGCAGAGTAAATCAGATCGCAGAAACGCCTCACCTGTGTCAATCAAACCAAGTTGTTAAGTCCATTTTACCGCGCGCATTTGCTTCGACAAGCCAAAATGTCGTTTAACCCGAAATAACTTTGTTCTATTGCATTCGGTGAACAGACTGACGAGTGTAACTGGAGAAGCGAATTGAATTCGACTGATAGCAAACCAAGTTCAGTGGTATTTTAAAATGAATACTTTCAATCGTTTCCGGTTCTCGTTCTCAATGTATAATTCACAAGACCAAAATGAATGCAAGCCAGCGAAAATCAGTTCCCATTTCAACTTTTTGAAATGTCCATAACCCCCCTCCCCTAATTAATACCTTATATAGTGTCCGACAGTTATGGACTCAAATGTTACTCAGAAAATTGCGTTAAAAGGCGAGACTAGCAATTGAAACAGCTATATTACTTTAACGATGAAGCGTTCACTTCATCTAGCAGGTTTTCGCACCCTTAAAGGGCGACTACTCTTATTGTACGCTCGACTTGTGATCAAGAAGCCACACAATTTGAAATCGAGGACAACCCTTGACATACGCGAACCCCTGAATTTCCCCAGGAAATCCATACTTCACTCAACACAACAAGTGAAATGCTGTCATTTGCCAATTTTTAGCGGCTTCGCCAGCACTACATTACAACCTCGCTATCTGACAGTCCGTAACAGCCCGAGAGGAAAGGCAATACCGATGGTAGCAAATATAACGATTTATTTACGTTTGACCACTCAAGTCTTTTATAGCACAGCGTGTGAGTGAATATCGAACGTTAAAAGTAATGGATTATTGATGACATTTGATCAACTCGTGAATAAGCTTCACTCACGTTCGTTTGATAAAAGTTCAATCAAAACAATCATCTGAAAGTCGATAGACAATCAGATCAGCAACAGAGTATTTTTAATATTCTGCTGAAATGTGATTTGACATTTCCAGGCTGCCTGACACTGAGACTGAGCCTAAAGCCTCATAGTAGATTATACTAAACCTGAAAACATTTTGTGATCCCCTTAAAATCGATGCAAAGCCTAATTCAAGAATGCAAAATCCTTTTTATAGTGTCGCAACCAACTGCACTTTGGTGTCATTGCAGTGGATACTAGTGCTACAAGAATATTTATGAATAATTATTGACAGTTTGATTGGCTCTGGTAGTCAATCAGTCAGTCTATGAACTCACTGAACCTCACCATGTTAAGGACCTAAGCAAATTGCTCAAATCGGGAGTATACAGCCACGCCAGTGAACTTATAATAATTGGTAAAAGCCTATAAACAAGGTATTAAGCAGAACACCGCTTACATGCCACGTTGGTGCTTAATCATATCTACCTATTATGTTACTTGTAGTCCTTTTCAAAGTTTGCCTATGAATCCTCTTTGTTTCAAACGCGTAATCTGAATTTTTTTAGATTCGCAACTCTGCTATATGAGTTGATGTATAAAAAAACCTAAAAAATTATCATGATTTTTGCGTCACGTTATTTTCGGGCTTTCATCTTAGCATTTTGAGCACACAGCAAATGGCCAGCGTGCTTTGGTCAAAGTAGGCCGAATGGCGCCTAGCCAAACAGGTCAAGCCACCAAGTCTGATTAAAAGCTGCCGATAAAATTGCAGATCTTAATAAGTGGTGATCCTTGGCTCGATTTTGGCCTTATTCGGTTGATCAAACTAAATATGAATAACCTCACAGTGCTTAGGTGGTTCTTTTTTTTATTTAGAGGAATTCTGTTGTAGCCAGAAAAGTTACACAAAAGCAAACCCCTAATAAACTACTTATTATTCAGAAATATCAAAAAATAGCAGAAATAACAGCCATTACCAGCTTTTATTACATGAGCACCAAACACAATATTGATGAAGGCGTTTTGCGAAAGTCCGATTGAAATAACTTAAGATTTTTAACTGTTTTTTGCTTTGGTATTAAGTTACTTTTAAAAAGTGAGTCTGACTTTGGGCGAAATTTGACTTGGCTTGACATGCAGCACCCAAAAATTTTATTGAAAATTTTGACTAATATTACTGAAGAAACGGGTTTGATGAGTGATTAATAAAGGGCAATTAAAAGGCATCGTGTGTCTAGTGTTCACCAAGGATGGCAAGAAGGAACTTTCTGTAGTCCCCGGACGTGTCATCTTTCACCATTTCATTCAAGGGTTTCTTGGTGTACTTCGTATTGAAGGTATTTCGGATCTCTGCCAGAGAAGTCTTTAAAATATAACAAAGTGAATGCAGGTGTGATTTAAGTGAAAGAATATGTTAGTTTTTGTGATTGATGTGAAGTTGGTGCAAGTCATTATAATGATTTGGCATAAAATAAATGAAAGTGCGTGAACCCTGCACTCTGGCATTTTATTTCTGCGATGAAAGTAAAGTGCACTTGAGTCATGACTGCTGCCTTAGCTACCCATCAAGTGGAGGTATCTTAGCAACCGCGGCACGCACACTTTAGGTTGTGCACGGAAATCTGTGTGCATCAGGGTTTCCTCCTAAATCCGGGGCAGAATTTGTCCCAGTTTAGCTTTGGAGCCGATCCATGCTTGAACGTGACTATTTCGCTGTAGCTATGGCATCGCGATTTGAAACCACGTAAAAAAAGCGTAAAAAAGCGAATCACATTGGTATTTAATTCTTCCACGCAAAGTTTATGGTTTACTATGAAGATAAATTGATTAACTGAGGGACCTTCACATCAAGTGTGCCAGTGAAATGACATAACCTAACATTTATGAATACGGCTCAAGCGTGCTAGATTGAAGTATGCAAAATTTGCCTAATGCAATGACGAACTAATTATACATACGCGTTGAGTTGATTTTAATTTTATGCAAATCGAGGATGAAGAAAGAAAAAAAAAGACTGAAGGCACGCACAAAGAACCCAACAAACTCACCTCAGAATACGCCATTATAACACGAATCAAATTGTCATCGTGAGTTCCGGCACCCGCCATGCTGTTGTAAAGGATGTCCGCAATGCATTCATTTTTGTTTATGGCTGTTTTGACTTGAATTTAGAAAGAAAAGTACAAAACATTCTTTACAGACTAGGTGCCAAAAGCAGGAACAGAACTTACCTATGGTGATCAATGCCCGCTTGTAATCCCCCGATGTTTCTTTTTCAATTGCTCGAATTAGGTCATGACCAACTGCCTGAAGGACAATTAATTTGTAAGTTGTTGATATAAATCTAAACGTGCCAATTCCATCTTATCGAAAAAGGAAAAAAACTGGTCTTTAAAAAATAACGAGTGATGCAGGGCTAAAAGTTGGAATGCTGTGTTTCATCCAAATATAACACCACTGAACAAAAATCTGAATTCACTTAACGTGGAATTGATAAATTGTAATTAACTTTCTAAAACTACTGATGGCTTTAAGTGTAAAAACAGGGTAGATGCCTCTCCCCGAAAACAAACTCAAATTTCACTGGTTATTTGAATGCAAAATGCAATGAAATAGGGAACTCAGCAGGCGGTAACACTGACTTGCCTTTGCGTATGCCTCATTAATAGAACGAATTGCCTTGTAGCTTCGTGTAACGAGAATTCGTGTGAATAGCGACTCATCAGTTCCAAGTTTCCTAGACAAAAATCGTTAGTGCAAGTTGTACCCCTGATCTGGCCTTTTTACAAAATGTTATGATAGAAAAATACACACAAACACATGTACACTCGGAACTTCATGGCATGGCTGTTGAACTTTTGTAGCCAGAACATAAATTGCGTCGTATACACCAGACTTCACGAAAAAACGCTAAAAGTAATTCTAATCCTTCAACTTAAAGGTTGATTTAATAAAATTGATTATAGGTGATTTTTTTCAGGGAAGTGTCGATTGTGGGTAAATTGTTCTGTTTTGACGCCTTTCAGGCTAATTAATTCTCTGACGGTTTTTGGCTGCCATACCAAACGAGTGTTTACGCATGTGCGGTTGGTTGAGTCACATTCATGCAAATGAATGTGAAGTGCTTGCTTCGGTGGCTTGCTCTCGAGGGGGGCTGCATCAAGCCATACCCCGCGGGCCTGACAACGCGTACCAACTGCGAGCCGGGTGCAACGAAAAGGAAGGCTGACGTAAATGAGCATATCGGAAGCACGCATTAAGCGTCCCAAAGAAGCTTTAAGTTTTCTTAAAGCAAGGCATTGGCTGCTATTCATTCAAGAAAAATAATGGTACAAATAACGTGGAAAGTAAGATGAAGTTAGTGTGCTGATCGTAACCAAGTCCAAGGTGAATAGAAGTACGGTAAATACCCCCCAACTGGTCTGTGATTTAGAAAAAAATATCCAGTATGTTTCGCCTTTAAATTCGTCAGGCAAATGGACGAAAAAGCAAGTCTGCATGAAAATATACTTTTGCTAAAAAACATTGAAGAAAATGCCTGAACAGAAATTTTGTTTCCGCTTAGCATTTTTGCGTAGCACACACCTGAATAAGTCAAATGTATTAAGACTGCTTAAGCAGTTGCTTACTCGATTTTTTGCATATTACTTGCTCTTTAGTTCTTACGTACATTTAGAAAGACACAAAATGCACAGTCAGTGCAAGATTAATTTGCTATGGACTGCGTCATACTGTGCACCGGTTTTCTGTGCAAAGTTTATTTTAGAGGCTCTTAATGTGAAATTAAAATTGTGAAAACTCAAATGAAGACTAAGCCAGGGACGTAGATTTTCGTTCTATTGTAAATATTGTTCCTTATTCCATTTAACTGCGTGTGATCGTAAGGAAAACATTTTTCCATTCCTCTAGCCGATAATTTGTTACATCGACATTTGCAAACCTAATTCTCAATTATTTAAAAATGCTTAAAATGAAGCCCACTGGTCTTTCTTAGATACTTGAAAGTGGAGTCTCTTAATTGTGATTTCCTTTAAATACATTTAAATTAAACAATCTAGTTGCAATCAATTCCTTTTCTGCCGTTTAAATGCTAACTAGCAACATCTGTGCAGTACTGAGTTTGGCACGTCTATTAACAAATGCTTTAGTTGAGGCAAGCAACGCTCGTCACTTTAAATCCACCCTGTGCTTACTTCTCACCGCCTTGGTAGAGCTCTTCGGCATCCTTTGTAACCTGGGTGGGGTCGCACTCCGTTTCACGTTTGCCTTGCAGTAAGGCAACAAGAACACGCTCGAGATCGCCACTTACATCGCCTTTAACGTCTGTTTCGAGGTTTCGCCTAACAGCTGAAAGATAAGACGGCTTTTCTGTCGTGGATCCGAATTGAAAAGGGACCACAAGCACCTCAGGACTGGTTGTATCTTTTCCAAATAGTCGCTCTCTCCCTTACCCTGCGGTCTGGACTCTGGTAGAAAGACCATGAGGAATCTCTACTGTGACCGTGACCATGGTACCATCGCTAGAATTACGTGTAGTTCACTTTTAAGAATATTTTACGATAAATTATTTTTTTTCGTTTAACGAGGGATATTGTTGGATAACATCAAAGTTTTGACACATATTCTGTTGTATTTTCTCCATTTTGAGCTTATTTTAGAAGTGGTATTAACTTGTGGTTATTCTAGTCGACCTTATACACTTTTTTGTAACTGCAACTCGAGATTTCTTGAAAATCACCAACAAATTTTGATAGCTGATGGAAAATGCAATGACTATTGTGGGCTAAAGATTACATTGCTGTTCGAATAGAAGGGGGTTAACACTCAGATTAACAGCATGATTGGGCTGAGCCACACAAAGACGATGCTAGTGTTATAAAAATCAACTTTTAAATTGGCCCTAAATAAAAATTATTTTAAATATTCACCAGCAGCATCTCTAGGCTAATTCTGATTTTATATCAAGGCAAATGTTTGGACGGTACTTACTGTTTTGCTTCTCCTCAGACAAAACTAAAATTCAGAATAGGATGGATTAACATAAGACTGAATTTCCATAAAACCCCCTAGGAAGTAGTGTACTTCATTGCAGTTCATTCTCATCCAAAATTGAAGCTCACTCCGCTTTTTGAGCTGAACACGCAGACATCACTGCTGTTACTCAATAATAATTAACAAGGACGAACTTAGGCTTCCTACTAGAATAAACTGACAAATGCTTGGCTTTAACAAGCATCATGGAGATCGTTACTGACAGAGGCTGCTAACAACCAGCACATTGCTGCCAAAAGTAAATCTTGAGCCGGATCGTGATCCTCGTGGGTCTCATTAAAGCAGTTGAGTCTAATTTGGTGATTCGCCACTGCCTAAAATGAACAAACACCCGGATGGTCCGGTGGCCCGTTCAGACAGGCGGGCGCTGACTGGAGTGTGCAGGTGACGTTGCCAAAATCCATTGACGAATTCCACGAAGATCGCAGAAGTGGAGTGGACTTGGTTATTAAATTATTAGAAGTGCGTCTGTGTCTAATTCAGAGCTATGCCTCCACTAATCACTTTAAAACACGCCAACGCGAAATTTCTTACGTTTCTAATCATTTTTGCAACCATAAATATGCATAAGTCTTCATTTTTCCTAATTTTTAAATTTTGAATTGAAATTTTCAGGACTTACTATCAGTATATGCCTTCTTAAGACAATCAATTTCAGCATTATCCGATGTGCAAATTGTATCAATAAGAATTTGTTCATCTGTTCCAGCACCTTTCATGGCCTTGTAACAGGCTTTTGCGTTAACGTGAGCTTTGTCATAAAATGAGTACAGCACGGCTCTCCGAAAATTGCCGCTGAGTTCACTATGAAGCCTTTCTTTGAGATCCTTCAAGAAATGGGGTTTAAATGGTTATCGCTCAATTTTAAAAAAATTTCGTTAAAATCATAAACAAGTCATACCTTGCCGTAGGCAGCCTTGTAAGCCTTAGCAATTTCATTTCGTTGACGAACGCTCCGGTTTGCCAAAATATCGATTATTTTCTGTTCATTTGTACCTATGATGTAAGTGGTTACTTAAATAATATGAGTAAAGACAGAACCGGCCAGTATTCGGCAAAATTGATGTGCTGAATGTTCTTGATAGATAGAAGGCATTAATGAATCGTCGCTAACCAGGTAAATCGGTTTATCTAGGTAATATATTGACACACAACACTGTAAATTTAATTTTCACCGGATAAAACATTAGCGAATTTGGCAAACACCTCCAAAACCAAAGGTTAAAGACAAGGTCACTCTCACTCCCAGTGTAACAATCAGACGATTTCCGTGTGTCTTGTGCTGTTACATTTGACTAGGGAATAGCCATTGCTCACTGTCCATTATAAACTGCCAATTTCAAGGCATTTGCTTCAGTTCTTTACAGCCTTGACAACCTTACTGCCAAGCCCCATTACACAGTGGCCGTAGTTATGAAACCTCAGCTGAATATTACAATAAAAAAATACACGATACGTCTGAACCTCCCAAAGAATTGCTAGTCTCTTGGATTGAGACAATGCGACTATGATCAAGATAATACGAGGATTGTAATTTCATCTTGATTACCAATCTACGAATTACTTATGTAGTAATAAACCTAACATTAAGTAGTGACGGAGAACATGGGTCGTGTCCTCATGCCTTATTTCTTCCAAACTTGTTTCTCATCAGGACAAATCAAAATACTGCAACCTCTGAGGATCGATCATAAAAAGGCACTACAGACCAAGTTAGATATTTTACAGGAGCCGTTTTTAAGATATAAGCTTACAATGTCAGCCACCCAAACTACTAACGTTTGAGCCTAACCGTGGGCTGCGGTCTGAAATAGCTGCCTAAAAGTGGTACATCTTGGCTAAGAATTAACTCTGAACTCGACTTTGGACTCACCAAGACCCTTCATAGCCTTTTCTAGTTCCTTTGCATCCTCATTGGCATTCATATTGCGGGCTTCGAAAACAGTTGCACCAGATGTCATGGTTTTCCTAAAACCGTACCAACATAATATCCATTACGTTTTATTTTATACCAGCCGCTTTATTAATAAAGTAGCTTGAGCGTATACTCAGTGTTAACTGTAAGGCTGATTGCATATTTTATTTATAGGCAGAAATCTGATGCACCCAAGGCACGACGTGAGAATTCACCACAGTTAAAAACTGCTTAATTCACCTGTCATCGGTATAGTAAATGCCCTTTGCACCGTGCTATAATGTAAACCGTGTACGTGTTGACAAAGGTAATGCCAACTTCGTTATCCGACACTGTGCTGCCTTGATTTCACGGGCGTAGTGTAGCACTTAGAAGTCTTTTACAGAGAACACAATCGCTCGTTAAAGAACAAATGTAGAGCAATTGTGTTTTGTGCACTCTTTCAAGTGCAAACCACAACAGACTGGAAATCATTTAAGAGGGTCACTTTAGGAAACTGAATATGAACAATGTTAGCTGCCATTTAAACAATATTTTAACGTATTCAAGTTCTCCACAAGACAAAACCCTAATCGTCAGATGCAATAACATGGAAAACAGCTGATAAAATGCAGATTATGAAGGTACATTACACAAGAATTTCGAATACCCGTTTACTTTTTATGTTTGCCAGAGCCTGTTCCACTTTTTTACTAGATTTTGAACGAGATTTTTTCTGAGATTTAGGTTGAAAATTAAAAGTCTTCATTTGATAGGGAAAATGCAACTTACTTGGATGCCTGTACACCTAACTAAGGAAGATATGTTGTAGAATGATGACCTTACCAATGTTTAGATTTATATGACCATGCAAGTAGTTTATTGGTCTAAATGTTAACCTACTTGTTGATGGTTGGCTGAGAGAGGTTTCCAGCCGGAGGCTACCGTTGTGACAACAACAATAAACTGATTACCTGGTCTGTAGAAGTCAATTTTAGTTTATTAAACGTACAAATTAGTTTTAAGACTGATTCAGTCTTATGATCATTTTGCAAAATACTATTCAAAGAAAAGTTGAATGCTACGCGGTGTTTGATAACGAGAAGGTTTAGTTGGAAGCATTCGTGTCACTGAAATAACTGCAAAAATGGAGAGTGGAAATGCAAGCTTTCAGCCTTCTTTTCCTTTTGGAATGATGGGAGCAAATGTGTGTGGTGTTCTCTAGAAATTTGTGTGATTTATCTGGTTATTTTAATTTACCTTGTCTACAAACATGCAGTATATTGTATTTTTTAACTTTTTTAAATAGTTGACAAAGAACTGTCTTAAATAATCAAAAGAGAAAGTCAGACACTGAAATGGAATGTAAAAAATGGCACATGGATAAACTGTGTTAAAATGGAGGATACTTTTTACACCGAGCATACCCAGGTTAATTCTAATACCTCGATTTTGGGTGGAAATAGCAGGGCCCTGACAGCGCCTTTGTAGTCGCTCAACCACAAATGGCACAAAGGTGCTAAACATATCGAGGGTCGGGGAATGTGATTTGACATCTGGTGAAAACACAGCAGGCTCCAAAAACTTGAAGTCAACACATTGAACGCTGAAATTAAATGTTAGAGGAGGCTAGTTAGCGCCTGACATTGCCTGTAATGGCAATGCGGGAGATTGCTTAGTTATTCTTCAAAAAATTAATTTCGGGTTCCAAAATAAAAACCAATGCACTACAAAGACGAATTGCCTTTTATCGGAACGTGGGTTTAGACGGCATTAATCGTGTAATTTTGATTTACACCACAGCTAACAACCTGACAATAACATATGGAAACTTGCAGTACAGTTTGTGACCGAGAAGTGCCCTGGGAGAGCAGCCATCGTCGTGTATTAGTAACTGTGGTTATTTGCTGTGATAAAATGATAATTAATCAAGAACTTACCTTCCTTCCATCTTGGATGCTTTGATTCTATTTTGTAGATTTTTCATGCATTCTGTTTCACGTGACCCATTTCTACCCCAAAAGTGATCGAATGAGCCTTTTATCACGATAAAACACACCCCAAGACGTCGGTTTATCTCATCAATTAGGCAGCAGTCATCTCGACTCGTTGAGGCTACAATGACGCCAAACGTTCTCGCATCCTCAAATGACTTGCCTAGAACGTACGCTCAGAGTATGTCAGGTTACCTGTCAATGTTTTTAATTTAACATCGTTATATTCAATTAGTCGATATGATCTTTTTAAGGAACGAGATTTCTAAGTCAATTAAAGAGGCCTTGTCGATAGTAAGACATCGTTGGCACTGTGAGATGTAAGTTCTCTGTAAATTGTTATTAAGTTTGCTTCTCAGGCTCAAAAATGTCCTCCCGACACACACCTGAACAAAATCTTCTTCCGTTTAAATTACCCACATTATCAATGCATTTGTCGCTACTTCCTATTGTTGTAATATACTCACCCAAATTTGTCAACAAGCGCAAAAATTTTAATATTTGTAACGTAATACAATCCATTAACACAGATGAAATATTAAGACGACAAGAATGAGTGAATTTACCATCAAAATATCGGGAGGTTCTGATGGTGTATTATTTTCGTGTTGAATAATCCGAACTAATTATTTTTTTATGGTTAATCTCTTATTTAGCGAAGGCTTTTAGCAATCCTTAAAGAGAAATTTTGTAGTTTTCACTGATTTCCCATATTAATTATCCTTCCTCGTTATTTCCTGTTTAATAGACCAACCTCAAACGGTAATGTTAGATCATGCATCGAATGTCTTGTCCTAAGCTCGTATTGAGTTAGGGGAAGAAGTCGAATGATCAAAATGGCTCAATTTGGGTAACGCTGTTGAATAACTAACTGAGACAATCAAATCACTGTTGTTGTTGCCGCCGCCCGATCTGATACCAGGCGCCCAGATTAGAATGCCAAGACAGATAAAGTACAATCGAAGTAGTAAACTGCATCACAATCCTATCGCGTTTCGACACCCAAATGACTCGAAAGCAAGTGGGGCGGCAACTGGCTCTTGAAGAGACCAGTGGAAGGTGGCAGTGGGTCACAAAGACCAATCACCCTTCGGTAAACTTGTTTCAACAAGCTTCCGCTGAAACGTGCCTGCTGACGACTTATTTCAAGTCCACACGTTTTCAAGGTTCGTACGTTTGAAGGGTTAGGTGCCGTGTCCTTGATTATCAGGCGGATTCTGTTTATGTAAACACAGAAAAACAGCTCGCAGCCATCACTGATGTTTAGCGGGGCCGGATACAGTGAGTTGAGATGACGTCCTGATTATGGTTGCGAATTACCAGGCTTCACCACAGGAGCATCCGATAATGCGTTTTGACCTGATTTTTCCATACATATGCATCTGTTTCCGGGCTTTTTTTGAAAAGCTGAAATTCATTTGGAGAGGCCGTAAATGAGAATGGCAGGTAAATTATGTGAGGCATGATGGATCTTTGTCTCATTTACGCAATATAAGAGATTGATGTTTTCAACATTAATTTTTTAACCTTAAGTGAGTTCGATTATTTATTTTTACTCGAAACAATGTCTAATGTAAATAAATAACCGCCTACATGTTCAGACATTTTGTGGTTAATATTGTATACAATATGGGTGTTCGTTTACTGGCTCAAAACGAGTGCGATGGCTACAAAGGACAGGCCTTAGTTTACCCTTCGCGTAAGTAGGTCTGTTTTCAAAGGTGCGGCTTTAATTGCTTTGGGAAATTCACCATTGTGTTTCGTGCTAATCGAATGCACACTGAAGTGCCTGCCAAAATCTGTGCACTTCCAGTACTGCTTGCTTGTTCAGTCAATCGCCATGCATCAAAATTCCAACTCTCATTTGATTGGTTTCAATTCGTGACGGATAGAAATTGACCCCGCAGAAACTGATTTTCGCTCTTGTAACCAACTATGCATAATTGAACAGCAATGCTAATTATTGAAAGTAGCTAGAGGCACAGTAGGAAATGCTATTTAATCATCTGAGTATTGCTCTGTACTCTGTATTTGTTTCAAATGAGCCTCAATAGAACTAGCAATTTATTCCCTTACTACAACGAACTGGTTGCGTGTCCTCTAATATGTATATTTTATGTTGCTACGCAAACATGACTTAATATGCTGTTAGCCTTATCAACAGAGTCAGATTTTCAGACTGTGCGGTTCAAGTTATCTTGCATGAACCGAAAACAAATTGTCATGAATTTTTTTAATGCCCACGTCTCAGCAGTATTATTACTTCATCTTAATAGCTGTCACCATCAACCAGTTGCCTGTTCGGAGGTTTTAATTGTCAGTGAGTGGTAGTGGAACCTTTTTGAGGCGACGCATTGCTCAGTAAACTATCCGCTTATATCGACATGGACCATCTGGTTACTACACCATAGTTTCAATGATTGTGGTTACTTGTTTCCTCTCATTAGTTTATATCCGTTAAGTTCCATTTATGCCGATGTGGGTTGCTGCCCCCCGGAAGGTTTAAGCTAGGTAGATGACACTACCACCAGATATCTAATTCTCACCGTTTGCAGCGGATCAGCAAATACCTTTAGTGGAAGGCTTTTCGCATCATTCTAACTTGCAAGGTTAAGATTTTTCCAAAAAGTCAGACGAACTGTAAATGAACTAAAATATTACATTTCATTTTGCCACCAAAGTGGACAGTTACAGTTTTCACTTGTGAAGCATGATTGGACTGGCCATTTTACAGATACCGACCAAACTCTTGCTAAAACCGGAAATAGGGAGGCAACACAAAGCTCTGCTAAGGTGTACAAGTGAGCGGTCAAACAAAAAAGTATCGGAAGATCGTGAACTTCGACTACTTTTACGTCGAGAGTTTACATTCCCTAGGTTTCTTTCATATTGTGAAGCTTGGAAAACCTATGAAGTGCTTTATAAGAAGAATTCAGATAAATTAATTATGTTGAAGGACTTCGGACGACTTTATTAATTCATTCACTGCCAACCAAAATTAAATAACAAATTAATTTAAGTTATCGAAGTGACTGTAATAGACTTCAGGTGTCAGCGCGTCATTGGCATTCGAGTAAGCTTCATGTTTATTCACTCACGCAAATTCTTCATTGAAGCGTCTTGCGCTTTGTTCACACAAAAAAGCTGCAAAGTTCATGCTCGGCAAGATTAAGAAGTGTTTATTCCGGGATGCGTAACCTCGAGGTTCATTTAAGTTTTGCTCTGAGAGCAGCCTACATCTTTACCAATAAAGCATTAAGAAAGCCGGTAAAAGTACATTCATTTGCATGACCCTTCTTTCGCACACTCGGAATTATTGCTTGAAATACTTTTAATCACATCGTTACAGGTGAACAGAGCCAAATTCATCATCATCTGCCACGTTTAAGTGCATGACCGCCATTGTTAAAAATCCGGTTTCGTTTGGCTTTCAAGTTTGCTAACTACATTTGGTATTTCGATAGAAACACTTTCGAAAATGTGGTGAGATGAACTCTCGTTATGCTGACATTAAATATTGAGTTGCGCTTGGCATAGTATTTGCACCATTGGGCTTTGATTCTGTTAACTCAATCTCTCGCCTCAATTTAGTACACTTTTGCTACTCATCTTTACAGGGTACACATTAATTTCTCTTTGCCTTTAATTATGAAATCTTACTACCATTAAATCACATAATCATGTACACGTTATAACTTAAGAACATTGATTCACATAATATGTGAAGATCAAAATTTCTACATATGAAACCTGTATCACTTAGAATATCTGATTGATAACTCAGCTTGTTTATTTAGCTTATTGTAACGGCACTTTATAAAACAGTAGATTTGCCCGAGGCTTAGTTGTGGCGACACTCAAACTGAGTAGTGATGGCATCACGTATGACAAACGCAGGTATACGTAAACAAGACGCCACGCAATGGGTAGCCAGAGAATAACTTTTATTGAAGGTAAAAGTGTCACCCATGTCGATCCGCTTGCTCTACTTTCTCGAAAGCTACAGGCACTTGGTGGTAAAAGAAAAAGGATAAACTTGTTAAAGGCTTTCAGGGCAGTTAAAATCTTTTAAAATTGTTCCTGATTTTAACTTGTTGACTTTTGTCATTTCAAGTTTTATGGCGTTATAGGTAAGCTCCGTGAACAAATGGAGCATTTCGATGCTTGGCAAACTCGATCGAGTGTTTAATGCTGTTGGAGTTGTCAAGGCCAGATGCGTTTAGTGGAGTGAATTAGTGCGTAAATACCAAGTTGGGGATCAGGAGGCGCGTTCGAATCCGCGCATTTGGTGAAAATGAATGGAAGTCGTCAGCTAAGGCTCGAATTGAGGGTGGGTGACTTGTGACTGCTTGCCATCAAAAAGAGGCGTGGGTTTGATTGATACTGAGATCCTCTTACAACCTCACAGACTCACAACACTAACCTCGTGACTTTGGAGTTGTCTTAGCAACACGATAGTTATGTCACTTCTCGAGAATATGGTGGACGGCTTTTAAAGGACTACATGAATTGGTGTGGCACTATTCATAGATGCGAAAACGGTGACGGTCCAAATATAACATTGACTGGCGTATCGAGTGACTAGGTCCACTCTGGGAGAACTCGGAAATACACAAGATGGAATTGAACAATTTTGGTTTCAGTTATTTTATATAAGCAACTGTTAATCTGAATGTAACTTTGAAGCAGAAGTTCAAATGGTTTTGATAGGGCGACGCTTATGTTGACATGAACATACTTAGCACAGCTGGAATACGGTCGATTCATCACACGAGTTGGTGCCGTCGAGAAAGCATGTGCGCGGAAGCATTATAAATGACGCCTGATAATTTGATTCAGCATCGACTTGAGGGAGCAGCAGTCATACCCAAGCAACGCATTTTTTAGTGTGCCGTGTGAGTTGCCACAATGAGCCAGGTATAAAAATTAACTAACTTTTGCTGCTTCTTACAGTGGTTTCTGTGACACAACATGCTAAACATGATGACATTGGAAGCAGTCTTAGAGTCCAGATGTAATTTCCAGACTTCGTAATTCATATTTCGGAGAGAAAGGCAATGAGAGTGTTGGTAATTCTCTGCGTTTTGTATCGTTTGTGTTTGTGCACACCAACTTTTATTAGCCTTATCAGCCTTCGCATCCCATATTGGCACATTCGATTTTGAGTGTACTATTTTTCTTACCCTCGATCAATGAAGCCCACTAGTAATAACTTGGCGGACTTGTAAATGAATCGTGTACGCCTATCCACTTCTGCTAACTAACCACACGATGCGCCCGAGAGCCGAGAGAAAACAAGAAAGCACTTGACATTTTTCACATGTAGGCTAAACGATGATAGCAAACGCCAAGCTAAGGTACACAAATCAATGCTTGCACTCAAGAGCCGTTTGTTTCGCACTCGTATTGGTTGGATGCGGCGTGCGTGGGCGTGTAGTAGCGAATTTGTGAGCATAGTGGATTGGTGATGAGTGTAACTCACTGGAAGGAGAGGGTAGCGACAGGTACCAATCACCTTGAGATAGACTTGTTGAGGCAAGTTCGACTGAGGCGACCTCCTTGGTTGACGTATCAATCAGGTTTGCAAAAAAATCGGGTTTGAAAATTGGGATGATTCGCACGATACTTGCAATCAATTTTCTATCCAACCAGTACGACTAGCGACTGTGGATGCCAATAAACAAAATATCAAACAAGCAAGCTCAGACGAAATTTCACCATATGTCAGCACGGACTTGGTTCAGAGTTTATTGGTATAACCTGCTGGCATACCGATTGAATAATCTGGCCAACAAAAATTACCTTTTCTTTTGACAGATTTCATCCACGAACGTGGCCTTCTTAATTCTGGAGAACTTGGTATTGGATGGGAAAAAAGTCCTAAATACTCAAATATATTTGCTTTACTTAGCAATTTACAAATTTCATGATCAGTTCCACGGTAATGAGTTAGGCCAGACATTTTAGCTTCAATACATGTTTATTCTAACCACAAACTGTTCTCTCAACAGCACATTGTGTGACCAGTGTTCGCCGATTACCTTTCTGAAAGTACATGCACGAACAACTTACGCCTGAAAGCCAGTAGGGCTTGCTTTCTCGATTTCAGGAATGTAAATCACCTTAAATGTAGTTGGCCACTAGGTTTTAAAATCACCTTAGCTCCACCTTACGCTCCTGTAAACTCGATTTGTGAATTTAAACCAGTCTGCTGTCAAGCAAGGGCCGAACCAAACTGCTAGACAATTGAGACGACAGTTGTCGTTTGTGACAAACTGCCCATCAATCGCGGCACCACCTCGCGGGAGCGTGTGTGCCGAGGAGGAATCAAAGGTGTTTTACTACGTCATTTCCGAAGCACACAACTCACGCTTGGTTGACGGTCATGGACTTGTCGCGCATCACGTGACCCCACACAAACGTTGTGATAAGGCGGGGTTAGAAATGCAGCATTTGTGCCTGACACAGACCCCTCTGTACTCATGACCGCCCATTCAGACCTGGCTCGTGGACTGCATTCGGACTGCTGCGGCGAGCATTCCATTGGTTCGGGCGCAGTCACTTACAAAGGTATGTACCATGACTTCGAGATTAGAAAACCGCTACATATTTTATTGAGAAAATTCATTTTGTTGTGTTTTATGCCCCTCTACCAATTTTTCTTTGGGAGGTGGTTGGCCAGCAACCAGAGACTTGTATTACTATTATTTTTATCGTCTGTTGGTTGTAGTTTTATTACGTCCCTCCACACGCCCTACGCAGACCATCCAACCAATTAGCCTTTTCAGGTGGCCTCATTTGTTGCGAGGTATGCCAGTTTGGCTAAACAGCAAATCACGGATAGGAAATGCACAAGAAGAATAATTGACAGGTATTTTGGCAAATCGGTAAAGCAATTGACGTCCAAAAGTCTATATGATGTTGATAAGAGGAAGGCATGAACGATGCAAATGTCTGGAAACATTGGTGAGAGTTATTTCCCCGCCCCCGGGTCAGTTGTGTAATCTAATTTCAGTTTACTGCCTTGTTCATATCACCTTGTTTATACGTACTTGCGGAGCTTCGACCGACCATGGTAGATGTTGAATAGATAATCCCCAGGAGAACTGACTGCTAAAGCTCTTTAGAGATACCTACGAATCGTAACCCTGCGCTTTTATTCACGCCCCTATTAAGTGACTATTTAAATAGCGCCAACGTAAGGAGCATTTCAGATCACGGATTAGAGCGTTAGTAAACGCACACAAATACACGTACGTCTGCCTACCTTCAGAGTGCTGTCTCGCTTCTAACAGTTTTAGTGCAGTGACGTGCCGTGTCGTGCCCTGCCACACCACGAGCTCTAACACGAGCGAGTGGCAGTCAAATGTGCTGCTTGTTGCTAGTTAAGGTTTATTTGATCTTGGCTTAATGACGGCTTGACCTTAACCTGTAACAATGATTTCACGCAGTAATGATGCCATAATAATTTTTCGTTGTCATGTAATGTCACTGAGCCTTCTCCTTTAGATGGCATGTGCTAAGTCTTGTCGCTCGTTCGATGCTGTCGAGGACGCTAAAGTCTTGGAAAAGGCAATGAAGGGCCTAGGTGAGTTAAATACCTTATCTCAATGCTTTATGAGAAGAAACGTCCCAGAGACCAGTTTATATTTAACGGGCCGCCTCAAACAGTTGAAATGTTACGAATTCAGTTCCTAAGCGTATTGTCATGCTGAAATTGGCCTTAAACTAAGTGGCTATTACCAAAGTTTAGTAATGGCTGCACAAGTTGACTTTAACTAATGCAGACACCCCACACAATTAAAACGCTACCTAGACAATAGTATCTATTGTTTTGTGTTTCATGGTCAACTTCCAAGCAAGGCATTTGTTTAGTCCCTGACTACCAGTAGGGCAATAAATTTCATTTTGAGGCGACCGTAACGACAAATAGCTATTTAGTTCCGTTTCGTGGATGAAGTTTATAAAACTACATTAGTTGAGATTTCTGGCACTGCACATTCCACCGTTCATGCACCATTCAAACGAGCTTTAAAATTATGTTTACTGACAACCGAAGGCACAGACGAAAAGGCTATCATCGAAGTTCTCACTTACCGATCTGCGGCTCAAAGACGTGAAATCGAAGCCGCATACAAGGCCCAGTTTGGCAAAGTGAGTCTTACCTCCATACTTTGAAGCTTTTTTACAGTCAGCAATTTTTCACAAGAACTATGTGGACTTTTCTGCATAACGAGTACTGATTCAAATGGGTCACGCAATAGGTTTCAGATTGCATTTAACTCCCATTGTCTGGTTGAAGTGAGGCTTATTGACGAATGCAGCGATAAAATTGTATGTGTGGTCTCCTTTGTTGTGTGGAATATCTTCAAGGAAGACAACTGACAAGGTGATTACAGCCGCACACAGGTTTCCTTTGTTCTCTCGAAAAGGGCGCATGTCATAGTGAAGAAATGGTTGCCGTGTTTAGGACACTGGAAAACAATGGGTACTTTGGATTACTAGGACCAGCCTTGCAGTAGTGTTAAAGAAAGGTGTTACCATAAATCCAACTGCACTTGAACGCCACGCTCTCCACGTGAACTTTTTACATCCTAGGATCTGAAGAGGGAGCTCCACAGTGAACTAAGCGGCAACTTCAGGCAGGCCGTTCTGTGGTCCTTTGGCGACCGCGCCCATGTGAACGCACAGGCTCTCTTTAAAGCCATCGACAGACCAGGCACGGATGAAAGAATGCTCGTTGATGTGTTGTGTACTGCAACCAATGAGGAAATTCAGGAAATCAAGGAAGCATATCAAGACGGTACGAATTTGTGACGAAGGATTGAGTACCGCCTGTTATTAAGTGTAGTCAAAGTCCACCACTTGCTGCGCTGTGAATGCGTGTGCGGATCCCTCTACCAACCTTAATTCCCAAGGTTGAAAGCGGGCTGACAATCGTTAGCTTGCTGGCTAATCCTTTTATGCACACAAATACACTACTTGATTGGTCTTATTTGGAGTAATAGGAATCCTCTCGTAGTGTGTACAGTCGACGACATAAGCCGCAGTTCTATTTACAACCAATTATTTAACAAAAAATTGGGATTTTGGAGATGCAATATCAAAAGACGTCCCCGACCACGTGAAATCAACATTAAGTAAATCTACTTTTGCGACGCTTGTGCAGTAGTGGTCTGAAAGTACGCACGAAAATTTTTAAATGACATTGTATAATAAAATAGGTTGCTTTTCCTCGAAGTTATGCATTTAAATTTTGTTTGCAATTTGCTGTCTTTCATCTATTTTAGTTTTAATCCAGAACAAAAAGAACAGTAAGTGTAGCGGACCATAAATGTCCATCTTCGTGTCGCTGAATGAACAGCTTATCTTTTTCTGTATCACTAGCCTCGAAACGAAATCTAGAGGAGGACGTTAGGAGCGACACTTCGGGTGACTTCAGAAAAGTGCTCATTGCTCTGCTTCAAGCAAGTCGGGAGGAAGGCTGTGATGAGGCCCAGGCGAAGGAAGATTGCGAGGCTCTTTACCAAGGTGGCGAGGCGTAAGTCGCCGTCTCAGTATGCCTCCCAACAGTAAAAAGGGATTCTCCATAATCCATTTAAAGATTCTTTTAGCAATTATCTATTTATACTTATTTACACTATAATCAGGGAAGTCCCAAGGCCTCTTGCCTGAATCTAGCTGGGTCAACTAAGTGTACCATTTGCCAACCTACAAATTAAGCATACAGTGGTGGCATGCTTCTTTGTAACACACTATTACAAAATTTATCATTTCAATTATTCATATTCCTTTACGTGTCGACTCTCAACAGAGACAAATTAACACCAAAATGAAATGAATTCTTGCCTGTCACGAACTTCTTTTAAAATTTAGAAAACTCGGTACAGATGAGGAAACATTTACACGAATTTTCTGCACAAGGAGTTGGAAGCAATTACGCAGAATAAATGAACTCTACATAGAGGTTGGCTTTTTTTTCTGGATTTATGTTTTTGCAAGATCTCAGATAAACTTGTGTGCATGCTGTGACGCGAGTTCAAACCACTATGAGAAAGGGCACAACCTTTCCAGATTACACTACACATCCAAAATCGATCGTAATAACGTCGCGACCTTAAACAGATAAATTGTTGTAAGTCCACGCCAACTCGTCTGGAATAGACAAGAGCAAGTATACTGCTACTAGCTACTACTGCTCCCCATCACTTCGGTGTAGTAAAATGGCAACCATGTACTTGCGCATGCCTACTCACGGAAATGCGATTCACACAAACAATAGTTGCTGTTAAGTGTAGTTCTTGGAGCTTTGTAATTTAGGGCAGGTAAGGTTTTACTACCTGACCTGGTTCTTTTTGCAGACACTTGCAAGAGCCCCAAAACTGGATTATTAGAACAGATAGTGTTAATCCTGACGACAAGGCACAGTTGTGAACTCATTACTGCATAGTTGATGGGCTCGTTTGACCGTCTGCAACTTTCAGATTGTTTTCTTGGCCATAAAATTTCATGGCACTATAATCTAAGTCCATATGAATATATCTCATCTGTATGTTTCTACTGAAACGTTTTCACAAAATGTGTAGCCGAGAGAACAGAGGCAACACAGAAAATTGACGATATTACTTTTGTTTGGGCCGTGACATCTTTTTAAAGCATTTTATTTCACTGGTGCTGTTTTTTGTCATATTTTCATCAAGAACTACGGTCACGACCTTATCAAGGCTATTTCGAAGGAAACCTCGGGAGACTATAAAATGGCGTTGACACGGATAAGTAAGTTTAATCATTGAATCATATAATTTACTTCCGTGAAAGCTAGTAGTATATAATAAATGAACAAGGGCGCGAACAATCATGGTTAGTGACAAAACAAAGGTTTTACTAACAAGGTGTCTGAGCCATTGTGGGCCAGACGCAGGCGAGGGTCTCGTCATCACGCTTTGGAGCACTCGCTTTTAGAATTACCTTAGCGCCGACATCATCAACGAGCCGCAGAGTACCTAGATATCTCAGATTGATGCAGAAGATATCCTTTCGTCACGCGTACATTTGTAAATAACGAGTCACAATCTAGTGGTACCATCTTTTACTTAACGTTCCCTTATCAATTGAGAGGCTGATATTGGCACTTAACTGACGATGCCTTTCTAACCACCCCTCTAACTTATAGTGGAAACTGCCCACAGTGTAAAGAAAACAGTTGCTGAGATGCTCTACAAGAGCATGAAGGGAGCTGGAACTAATGACGACAATCTAATTCGCATTATTCTGGCTTATTCTGAGGTACGTTGTTTCTACCATGACATCGGTCTTTGAATTCACCTTCAATTGGCTGGTACAATGTTAATATATACAGCTTTTAAGATTATGCAAATTCGTCAGTAGCATCATCTTTAAGAAATGTGAATGCTGTCAATAGCATTAAACATTTAAGTACAGTAGTTTCGTTCCTTTGTCAGTAAAACCCACAACAAAATCATGAAGTGAGATCATAAAATGTCGATCTGACATTAAAGTTCCATTCTAATATGGCTTGCAAGTAACAGTCTACCGACAATTTTTTTGCCATTGCTTTAGCACAACCTCGCCAGGATACGAGAAATTTTTGACATTACGTACGAGAAGACGCTGGTGAAAATGATTGAAGGTGACACTTCAGGTGATTATAGAAGATATCTTCTCGCGATTCTGGGATAAAATGCTAGTTGCACATTTGCTTGATGGGTTTTTGATCTTAATTATCGACTGCTTGCTTCATCTGTTGGTGATATCCGAAATAAATATAAGTTCAGCCTAATTCTTGACTGCTAGTGGGAATATATGCTGCTAATTCATGAGAGAAACGTAATTTTTATGACATATACCCAAAAAACTAACCGATATTCTCATAAAATTAGCATCCCCCATAATACACGTAATTACGCCTGGCAACAGGCTAAATTCATACTTGAAAACTTTGATTTTTTAAATATGTCTTTTGTGAAATCAGATCTGGGCAGTGTTATTTTTCATTATAACAAATGGTTTACATTCTTTTACTCAGTCACAATATGAAAGCATTTATGTTGGGGTGTGAAGCGACTTTACGACACTATCAAGTTCACCTAAGTTCCCATTGGTCGAATGCATAGTCGGGAACTTGCCATGGTCTGCCTGCCCAATGGGAACCAGAAATTCTACTAAGACTCTTAAGTCTCGGATAGTAACAAATTCTGACTGGCCTGTCCCTGTTCCATTTGGCTTATACGTTATTTTCTCAGTGGTCAGAGCAACTACGTAAATAAGTAGAGTCAATCTAAGATACTTCATTTAAACGATAAAACTGACATAGAAAAGACTTTTCTACAGAATTTCTATTATTCTTCCATAGAGCATCTGTTTTTTCTCGTAGCATTATTAAATTAATAATAAGAATTAAAAAGCAATTATCGTGTTTAATTAATTATTCACAGAAAAGTTCGATCATAATCCTAATGTCAGGCCCTCGTTTGTGCTGGCACCACGCAATAGAGGTCCTATATTCAAAACTGAATCAAGTTAGTAAGTTTGATTCCGACTAACTGCATAGGATGATGAGGTCGTCTGAAACACAATGAAAAGAAATTGATGAAATCCACCAAAACATTGCGCTCGAGATGTTGAAATGATGCTGTGTCATTTAATAGAGTACGTTTTGCAGCATTTCAGCAAAGCTGACGGCCAAGTTGTTTTCTTTAACAGTCATGTAAAATTGTTTACACAAATATAAAAATGGTTTACATAAATCATTATCTTTGATGACCATTAAACCAATTTTAGCACTTTTACCAATCTATGCACAAAGTTCTGCATTGCAATTAGATATTCGAGGAATGACAGTTACTTTTTTTGTCCAGTGTCAATCAAAATAGAAATTAAGTCAATGAAAAAAAAACAAAAATTTTGGAGGCCATTATAGAAATCTGACGAAAAGATATAATTGAAGTTCAATTCAAATAAATGCAAACATAAACACATGAGGTTTTATTTATTGAAAAGATGGCCCGCCAAATGTTGTTGATGCTGTTGTTGTGGTTCAAAGATTTAAAAGCAATACTTTGGTTTGAGAGCGAGTGCTTAAGTTTCCACTTTATTCCAATGCATGGCATCTGCATAAACAAATCATTCAACAGGCTAAAAAATGTCTCATGGGATGAAATCATATTTTGCAATTTTCCAAGACTCAAAAGCAATACTCGTAAATCTGACAGGTTTTTACTGATTTCACTAGTTTTAATTTAAGAAAGAGGAGATGTGTAGTACTTCAAGAGTAGATTTAACATTTCTTATAGTTTTTAATGTCGAGTATTTGGTGTGAATTCAATATAAAGCATCTATACACGGTTTTCTCAGTGAGTTCCACCTTGGTGCTACAAACTTAAAAGGACTTATGTAAAACATTTTAACGTTCATTGCTCTTTTTAAAACTTTTTTACAATTAAATACATATTTTTTCAACTTTGAAACGACCAAATAGTAATTTATTCAAGGTCAAGTTACAAGCGGGCAATCGAGTTGAAACCATTGGCTTGTGATGCATTGAGTACTGCATTAAATGGATGCACACGTTGCACAACCTTGGCGTTTTTCTGAATTTAAAACACGTTACGAAGCTCCATTTTTTGTCCAGTACGCAGTTAGTCCTCATAATTCATCAGTCAATGGTGGAAAATTATATGAACGCACGCGAATCAAGGCATTAGCAGGCAAGTTTGAGTTCAATTTTGATAATTATTTTGTAGAAGAACGTGAGAGAATTCAGAAAAAGACATTTACAAAGTGGTCAAATACATTTCTGCAGTGCGACCAAAGATTGATTGTAGACCTTTTTACAGACCTTTGTGACGGAAGAATCCTACTAAAACTTATCGAACGCGTTTCTGGATACAAGCTTGTTAGTAATAATTAACCTATTATTAGTTTAGCCACCACCAACGCCTGGAAGAATGCGGATACACTGCTTGGAAAATGTTGAGAAATCCCTCGTATTCTTGGATAAGTTAAACGTTCACTTAGAAAATATTGGCGCACATGACATAGTTGATGGAAATAGCAGAATCATACTTGGACTGATCTGGACAATAATCTTAAGGTTCCAGGTTCAAAATATCTCAGTGATTGAAAAGGTAAGGCGCGTTGGTTACGAAGAACCCATCGGTCTCCGGCGGAATTCCACAGAAGCCCTTTTGCTGTGGTGCAAGGCGAAAACTCAAGGCTACCCAAATGTCTCTGTTACAAATTTCACAAAGAGTTGGCGTGATGGACTAGCATTTAATGCCCTTATTCATAAACATCGTCCTGACTTGATTGATTACGCTAGCCTTTCACTCGACGAGCCTTTGAGGAACCTACAAATCGCCTTCACGACTGCTGAACGTTGCCTGGGGATACCTAAACTTCTTGATCCAGAAGATGTGATGGTTGAAGAACCAGAAGAAAAGTCTATTATTACTTACCTTGTTTCGTATTACCATTACTTTGCACGAATTAAGGCGAACACTGTGCAGACACGCAGAATAGGACGCGTGATTAATCTCTTGCGAAATTTCATAAGTGATGTCAAAAATTACGAACTTTGCGCAGAAAAATTGTTGAGATGGATTCATGGAAGTATTCTCCGCATGAATGACAGATCGTTTCAGCAAAACATTGAAAGCCTACAGTTTCAGCTTGTACAATTTAAAAATTTCCGCACAGAAGAGAAGTCACCCCATTTCTACGAAAAGGGTGACCTCGAAGTTGCCTACTTTGTCATAATGAGTGAAATGGTTGCCGCAGGCATGCGAATTTACGTACCTCCAACGCGCTTGAAACTTTCAGAAATCAGCAGAGCATGGGATGACCTAGAGCGCTTTGAACATGCACGCTGGCTAGACATAAACGATGAGCTTAGGCGGCAAGAAATGTTGGAACAGCTCTTTCATAAGTTTGAAACAAAATGCTGCATGAGAGAATCGTGGTTGCAAGAGAATCAAAAAATCGCTGAACAGGAATTAGTAGGATCGACTCAGTACACACTGCAAGTAGCTTTGAAAAAGCATGAAGCTCTTGAATCTGACATCTTTGCCTATGAAGATCGAATAGAGATGTTGGCTCAAATAGCAAATGAGTTGAAATGTTGTGGGTACTTTCGGGCAGAGGAAGTTAATTCTCGCTGCTCAAACGTCATGATCTTGTGGAACCTTCTAATAGAAACCTTAGAAAATCGCCGTATGACAATTCAAAATAGGATTTTTACCATGGAATGGGACAGTGAAATCAGTCAGCTGATGGCGTCTGCTTCTGATTTGAAAATGAGAATTGAAAGAATTGACCCTGGTTCTAATTTGGACCAAACGCAGCATGCAATGATGTCAGTTGAGATAGTTGAAAATGATTGGAAGACCTTAAGTGTCCACGTGGAATATCTCCTCAAACGCCATACAGATGAAAATGGTGATGAGTTAGAAAAGGAATGGCTTGACATTGTTGATCAGTTTGTAGAAGCTGTGGCAAAAAAACGCGCTGAATTGGAAATGCTAACACAACGTTGGCGTCTTTTGCGTGATAATTCTCAACACAAGATGCACGCCCAAGACCGAATTCAAACGCTTTTAGAGATGGAATTTGAACTCTCATACAAAGTAATTACTCGAGTCCACAGAAAAATTAGGCTAATTGAAGACGATGTTGCTATGCACCAGGGACATTTGGAATCAATTAATAATGCCGCCGATGCTATAAAAAATGACCCACACATCCGCGAGTTGATTGAGTTGTGGGATACCTTCAAGCAGCTCCTGGAGTTTATAAAGTCCAAAGCCACCTTTCTTGAAGAACTAATTTTTCTTAATTCCGAAATGGATAGTGCCTTAAGCTGGGTATCTGAAAAGAGTAATTGGATGCAATCAGAGGATGGTCGTTCCCTTGACTCTTCACTGCGTTCGAATCAACGACTGCTAGAAGAAGTTGGGGCTTATCTTCATACAGTCGAACACATAAGTGACACGACAGCAGCATTGAAAAAGGATTATAAAGACTTTGATTCAATACCCACAAGCCTCACTGGGCTCTTAAGCGAAAAACATACAATGCAGAGAATAGGTAATCTGAGAACAGAGATTGAATCTATTCTTACGGAGAAATCGACTCGCGTTTTCCGCTTATACTATTCTATTGCTGAAGAGATAAAGAGGAGGCAGGCTTCCTTAATAGATGCTATTTCCGTCCAGCAATTTCTACAGAATGCTGCCAATGCAAGGAATTGGATATCAGAAAAATCGAAACTCCTTAACCGGTTAAAGTCAATGGATCTGAGAAGTGTATACGACAAAGGTCTTTCTTCTGAAATTCAGGAGGAATTCGGATTTGCTGAAAGACGATTTAGGGAAATCGAATTTCAAATGAGCCTTATGGCCGAACAGGTAGGTATGCAGATAGTGTGATAAATCATTTGACTCTTTTCTAAAATCGATGCATCTCCCTAGGTGACAAATATTAATACATCGGCGTCCAACCTTATCGATATCGTAGCGGCCGGAACGATCCAGAACTCGAACGAGGTGCTGCTTCAGGTGACTGAGGCCCAAAATAAACTAAATGATGCGTGGAATCAACTTGCTGATTGTGTGGAGAGTCGCCGCTACCTAATGAACCTGGATCACGCCTTCCTGGATCTTTGTCAGGATTGTTCTTGCACCGCCGAGTGGATTGAAGATAAGCTGGCTATCCTCAACAGAAACGCTTGGAACGATATTTCCTCTTTGACACAACTCACACGACTCGAATACACGCTGAGTTCATTACAGTCTGACGCCAAAGTGATTCGTGCGAAGGTTGATAATATATACGAACAAGTATTGGCCACCTACCCCGCTTCCGAAGGTCCTTTAAGCGAACGAAGAAAGTGGTTGCTCGAGGCGCACAGTGGACTGTGCGGAAGGTTTGCGGAGCTTGAACGCCAACTGGACCAGTTAAAAGGCTTGGTGTCTCTTTACTGGGGCCACTTGACATCGGCTCAATCGCTGGAAGAATTTTCACAATGGCTGTCATTCTTTAAGACCAAACGCTGTAGCATTACAGTCCCTTCTGATCTTGAGGTGAGGATGACATGAGACCCAAGTTATTTTGTGTCCTTTTTAAAGAAGAGCAGAAGATGGCGTCAGCTCCTTAATTTATTTTAAAATACAATTGTGTTGTTATATTAACTGAACATTGCAATTAAACCTTCAACAATGATTCAGTAGTGTTGAAAAAGGTGGTTTTGAGGCTTCAGTCGAAACGAAGGTCGATATGATTCTAAATGTGTATAATCGTCAAAGAAACGAAGTATGACTATTTAGGACCTTTTGCTAAAATGCGGGCAGTGTAGATTGTAGATTGCGCTGGTGTTTGCCAAGCTGCCGAAAGTCAATTGTGTATGCCTTCAGCCGTTCAATTGTAGTCCTATTGAAGGGTCTCAAATTCATTATTGAGAATTCCGGGCTAATGGCGACATGCTTTATCCCAAAATAGTCAAGTGTGGCAAGCTTGTAAAAGTGTAAGAGTAGGTTTAAGAGTAAACGCAGTTTATTTCATTTTTCTGCTCCGAATGCTCCGCCAAGAACGATTTCACGTTTTTCCTGGTCAATTTTTATCTTAAGGCTTCCGTTAGCTAAATTTGAAAAAGACACAAGGCTCGTAAAGCTCCCCTTATCTATTATTATTTTGTGCGTTAGGAGGCTCGTCGTTTGTTATTGGAGCGGGAACAGGACTTGCAAGAGCTAGTTGAAGCTGAGAAACGTCTGGGGCAGTTGATGGTGGACTACGAAAAATTAGTGCATTCGAGAAGCAGCAGTGCAGTGGTCGATGAATCTCGAGCGAATCCAGAACAGGTCCTTCAGGAATATGCTGGAACCTGCGACCTTGTTCGAGAAAACATTTCAACTCTAAAACAGATCGTTGATATGCAGGTGTCTGCACACAATATTTTATTGCATTGTCCTAATTCATTATTTCCTTCTCGGTTCCTCATAACCCTTTTTCCGCAGTGGTCCCTGAGAAAACGCAAATCCAAACCTGAGTTAACATGCTGACCATAGATATTTAAACGAAGGTGAAGGTCTAGATGGAATTGCTCATGTGCTTCAGACCGAATCAAGTCCATGAACATGACTCGAAATTCCGCCACACTGAAACTTTTTGTTCTTTCTTTCCGGTGTAAAAGTCTTTTCCTTTCAAATTCTTAGACTTTGTTGGCCGAAGCTGGGAGCCTGGAAGTTGCAATTCGTCAACAAGATGCGTACCTTCTGAAGGACGATCTGTTTGTAAGTGTTTGCTATATGCAATGAGATTTCAACCTTCAAAGCCGTTACCCAAAACGACAGAGTTATAAAATTAGAAAATAAACCAATCTTCAATCTTGAGAACTGTTAGATTTTATTTCATTTTTTTTAAATTTTCTGTTTTCACAAGTTAAGGAGCATTTTCTTTATTGGAGCATGTTGCAGAGGTATGAACTGCACTTTTTAAGTCAAGAGCACGCGAAGACATGGCAAATGAAGAACTTTAGGTCACTACAACTGCTTGTTACTGTACTTAATGATGAGACACGTCCCTTATCACACAATGAGACGACTGATGGCATTCTGGGTAATGGCTTAGACACATTCTTGTTCCCTTAATAAAGCGGAATTTGGCCTTTCAAAATCCCAATCTACATAGTCCTGGTAGCTTTGATTACAAGTGCCCTTTTGGCTTTTGTAAATGTGGCTATCTAGAAGTTGGTGTGAACTAGCGTGTGGCACGTGGTTGGAACAGGCGTCTTTTACGGGTCTTGAGGCTCAGCGATTGCGGTTTAACAATTAGATGCCTAGTGCCGGTACTATCTCACAAGTATTTTGAAATTAGAATTCAGTTGAAGCATTGGAAGCTGCGCTACGCGAACATGAAGCCTTTGTTGCTTTAATGGCTAATTGTTGCAACCGACTCAGTTTACTCGAAAGCAAGAGCGAAAACATTGCGGCTGGCCAATGTGACAATGGAAATCGGCTAGTTTCCAAGCTGCGCAGTCTTCGTGAAAGGTGAGTAATCTTTACTGAGGTCGACTTAAAAACACAGGTAGTAAATCTTTCCACTTAGGTAAAAGAATACTCGAAATAAATTGATAACGTAGACGTCATTGATTTTGATCAAAAGTGGCTTAGAATAGAAGTTATTTCTATGCTCCTTGATGGAAGTAGTTGGAATAAAAAGGGCGCATTATTTCAAATTTAAACATTTTAATCATCATGGCTTAAGCCTTATGTGTTAAAATGGTAAATTTTGGAAGCGCTTGGGCCAATGTGTTTAAAAGATGTTCGACTGATATATTCTGTAAACTTTATCTTAGGGTGGAAAAAAATAAAAAAAGAACATCCGAGCGCGAACGAGCGTTGAAGGAAAATCTACGGCTGCAGGAATTACTGGGCGACATCATGGACGTAAGGCTCTATTAATAAATATCACTTTTTTCTGTGTTTGATCCTCCTAATTTTTAAGCTACATTTCAATTCTGATTTTTAATCGAACAGACCATTCTAGTTTAGCTTCGCATCCTACTAATGAAGAATGTCAAAAGATTATTTTCACAGCAAAATGATTCACGTTTTACTTAAAATTTGTTGATTTTGCCAAAATTAGCCCAATTTAGCCTATTTACACCAACCACATTTTAGGTTAAATAGCCATCCATGATATGCAGTTGAGTTATGAGCAATAGCTTTACACAATGCCATCTCGGATCTTTGCAATCTCCACTTATGTTTTATAGATTGAAGACTGGATCGCGGATAAATCAGTGGTCCTGAAACAAGTCACTATAACCTCTAAACGGGATATCATGAGTGCGTACAACCAGGTCAGAGCCCTCCAAGATGAGATAGAAGCTAGTCGAGACCGCGCTGAACACATAATAAGGGTATGTCTGGACATCCGCAATTATTCATTCCTTATTTCTTATTTATAGTAATTTGGTGCTGCTTTTCGTTCCGTTTGCACTTTTGTGACAGTGGAGTATGATTTTACACACAAAAAAGTAACGATTTCCTTTATTTCATCCAGGTAGGCAAACAACTCATTGATTCTTCTCCTCAATACAGTCATATTGTGTCACTGCGCATTGACGATATTGTTGCCCACTGGGAGGACCTTCTTAAGTTACTTCATTGCCAAATGAGGAAATTGGAGGAATTGCACAGAGGTGAGCTAGAGCGCGAACCATTTGAAATGTTGTAGAACGACAAAAGATGCCATAATTCAATCGTTACTGCTTGAAGGCAACATTTCCAGAGCAACAATGTCAATACGGCTTTGTGAGCAAATAGATCAGTGTGAGTTTGTGGCAAAGGTACCGATTAACTAGTGTGAAACATTGCATGAAAAGTTAAGTCCAGAGGCTGTAAGATAACTAGCATTATTATTAATGGTAACGATGTTACTTGGGTCACACTAATTAATGCCATTCACAGAGAGTGGGTTTAAATACGTTCTAATTTAGTTGAGTGCTTAAAATACCTCATGCATGGAGTAGGATCAAGGCGTTTGCTAATGTTACTTCTTTGCCATTCTTTTGAAAGAATACACCATGAACGAGGCTGTGCAGAATCTAATGAACTGGGCCAATAACACAATCTCCAAGGTCAAGGCGAATCTAGAGGATTCCAGCCTGACAACAGCAGGTTTGGCTGATCTTCAACGACGATTAGAGTCGCATCAGAGAGATTGCCAGGATTTTGAGAGTTACTTAGAAGTGGCGGACACAATCAAGGTTATTTGGACTGTGAACGTTTTTGTGTATCATAAATTGTCACATTTCCAGAAATCTGTAACACCTATCATCTTCTATGGATGTGAAGACGCACTAGCACATAAAACAGTAAACATCGTGATTATCATGGACTTTGTGGTTCATTGCTCGCTAGATTTACATGACCATAAACTCATTGGCACCTAAATGCTCCACGCTTTCTGATTAGAAGCCCCCATATCAGCAACAGAACAGGCGGAAAATTACAAATGAAAAACTCTTTGCACAACCTGAAACGTGCTAAATGGAAAGTTATTTTTGGTTACGTAACCATCAACATTGGTTTCTCTGCAGTAAACTCTTTGTCCTCAAAATCAGAAAATACGCCGTTTATTTGTTTTGTTATAATGGTGATCTTATCCTAGTAAAGAAATAGTGAGTTCTATAATCGGCATGGGCTTTGTTACTGAAAACCATAACTTACATAACTTGGCTTCACCTGTATCTTTGGTGTTAACAATTTGTGGCCACTTTTTTACTGCTGTGCTGCTGCCTGTCGCACGAATTTCTTCTCTGTTCAATGTTGCAGGCAATTTATTCAGTCAAAGTAGACAAAGTATATTTAGGCCTTCATGTACTGGACTGGATTGCACTGACGAAGGCATGTTAAGGTGTGGTATTCAAATTGTACTATCTGCATTTCAAAACTCTCAAGTCAAATATTTGTGACCATATTGAAGCGAATCACCAAGCCCCATGGGTAGTTTTAGTAATTACAAATCACAGGAATCAATCTTAAGTTATAACCTCATTTTGTTCTTCTTTAGAGTCACAGTGACGCACTTTCACAACTTTTTCCAAGTCGAAGCTGTGACTTTTTAGCCGTCAACATTGAAGTGAGTAAAAAGTTGGACTCCGTGGACGCGGCCCTGGGGCACCGTGAAAGCCTCCTTAATTTCCACAGCGCCATCGCCAGGCATCTTCTCGATCTGACTTTAGAGCTTCTATGGGTTAAGGATAAGCTGGTTCAGATCAGACAGCCTTACACAGACTGGAAACCTCAAGACAGGAGATCTGCTGGCTGTCAGCTGCTGCGTGTGCATCAAGCTAAAAGACGCCTGATGAATCACATTGCTGAAGTAGAGAATCGTGGACCCAGAGTAAAAAACCTTTGTCAAGTAAGTCAGGTTTTTTGGGTTAACTGCCTAAGGTCTACTGTTTTCATTAGCAAGAAATGCGCCCAATAGGCTTTATGAATAAGCCGATGTCTTTGATTTCTTTGAATTCCTCAGCTAATATTGCGTGCTACTGATATCGTATCCAAAATATTATGTTTCATTACCGTACTTTTAGACTTCACTCAATGATTTTACATATAGATTCATCGTGAACGATATGTCAAAATTACACTTGTAGGCCTGTTATGCAAGTCAAACGGTTATTTATTTCATAGAAGCAATTTCGAACTTGTTAACTAGTTTTAAATCGAAGGAGTCTGTTAGAAAAGAAAATAATCCTGAAGAAGTTTCTTAATAGTGTTTATCGTTCTCGCATAATTTATTCATGACGTGGCCTATATTTGTAGATGATGAAAGAGGAGTACTTGCAGCACACTGAAACAGCTGGCTCACGAATTGGTCGTTTCAGTGACATTCTAAGGGAGCTGGAACAAGCCTGGTACACCATCACCTACCTATTGGAGGTTCGTCGTGAGGAGCTTCGCCTTGCTGATGCCATCCACAAGTTCTGCTTCGACGTCATCAATATCGAAGCTTGGATGTCTGAACGAGAACTCTATCTTCAGGGTCTCCAGGAGCCCACTGTACGGTTTGTTTTGCAGAAGTTTTAGGGTTTAAAAACTACAAACCTGCACAAAGTGGCCACAGGCGCTCGAAAACGAGTTTACTAACGTATTATAACTTAGCTCATTGTGCAATGATTTACCGTCAAAGTGAGTCATGCAATTAGCAAACGTGAGCAAACTTGATATAATTGATTTACGTGAATGTACTTCACGTAACTGCGTTCGCTCAGGGATCGGTGTTTAGCCGACCCTATATACACCGACCTTTTACGTTGTACACCTGCACACACCACCACTACTGTAACAATAAATAAGTTGGGTTGCGCGCTATCTGCATTTCTACTCTTCCGTCGGTCTGGCCGTGTCAGTGTGGGTCGTCGGCCCTGGTGTAGTTATCCAATCGCGTTGGGGCCTGCCACACATTGATCAACGAAAAGCATTTTAGACACCCAACATTCACATATTAATGTTCTACACAGTAGTACAGTTGCTGTGAATTAATGTGCCGATGAGACTACATTGACTTTAAGTTTGGTACATCCGGGCCTTCAAATTGCACAGCGAATAAATACTTATGTGACTTCCGAAATGGAACCACCTTGGCAAATTGTTGTTTAGGGTTTCGTGTGACATGACTAAACTGTATACCACAAAATTTCATGCTATATATGTACCTGCCTAATACAAATAAGAGCGGCCACAGGTTACTTTCTCGGTTGGGACCGGTACTATTCCGAAGTCTACAGTTACCTGTTTAGCCTTTACCGCTTTTGCGCACTTATACTCATGAGTGTCACTTGTAGGTTCCCAGTTAACTCATCAGGTGATCTCTATCCTGGAGGCGAATGATAATCAGTTTAAACTTATTTCAGTATTTCTCAGATGTTTATTAGTTTGATGAGAGTCCACATTCGAATAATTTTTTGCACACTTGGGGGTTCACCTCAATATTTGGTAGGTGCATTTGCAATCAGACTTAAATCTTCTTCACTAGCTCTCCTTATTCGTTTTACTCAGTTAAATATTGAGACGTAGCCACCTAATTTTCTTTATGTGCATTTTGACTGGCATATTCAGTGGTTCCTACTAACTAGCCATCTGACGGACGCACATCTGAGGGTAATCAACGCACAATGCGTGGGTTCGGTGAAGTAAACTGCCCTATGTGAAATTTAAGTGAACATAGACTACATAATTAAAAATTTGGAATTTTGAAAAGTGTGGCAATTTAATTAGGGCGTCGCTTATTTGTTTGCTTGTTAAAGGCCTAAAAGGTTCACGAACATTGAATAGTCTCTTTTTAAACCGCAAAGTAAGATATATTAGTTTACATAAGAGTAAAGATTCCACCCTTTAAGATGTTACTTGGATCAACAGTATGATTTTTGTAATGCCTAAAAATGGAGTATTTAAACGATTTGATTCTGCAACCCACGCTATTCGCTTAGCTTTCCCTTTCTGTCGCGGACACCTTGAATCTATTGCACTGATGTATTAGCCGCCTCTGTAACAAGTCTTGTGTTTTTAATGGGTATTTTGCTCAAGTTACTTATGCCAAAATTTTTAGAACATAGGAGAGGCCCATCGGGCCCTTCGTCGTTTGAATGTTCTCCAGGAAACTGTTGCTCATTGGGCTAACGAGATTGATCGGATGGAACATAGGGGAAACGAGTTGCTTCAAGAACTGTCCTCGACCGTGCAAATTAATGGCGAATGTGTTGCTGCTCCACCCGTTGCCACAACCACCGTTCTGGAGGCGACAAAGGGGGTTATGGTGGCGTTCGAGCACCTCAAGGGCAGTGTGCAGGAGCGACGGAGGGATCTGACGGAATCCATCACTTTGCATGACGTAATGCAAGATATTAACGATCTAGAGGTACATGGCCTATTTTACTCTGTTAACTCAGAACTATCGATCAAGCTGGGCCATAAGATTAAAAATGACGAGCTTTTGTCACCTTTTTAACAGTGGATGTTGTTGAAGTCGTAGCGAATTTCCATTTCTTGATTTTCGGTATCAAACGATTACTGGAAGCAAATAATTTACCCAGTTTTTCCTATTTTTGTGTTTCACAACACTGCATCAGCTCGAGAAGTGTTACTTTGCTACGCATTAGATCAACTTTTAATTGACTATGAAATTAGTACTTGTGGCATGCATCTGCTGAAAGAGTTCACGAAAGCTTTTTACTGAACCTTCGTTCGCTCTAAATGAAATCCTACTAGGTCAACATGTCATGTGCCTTGAGGAAGTCATGATTGCTAAACGTAGAACCGAAAAATTTGGGGCAAACCGTAAGTGAGCAAAATAAATTACCAAAAAATAAAAGCCTAAGGAACAAACGTAACTCTCAACACTTAAAGTTTTATTTTTTTGAATAGTCCCTAAAGCTATTTGCACTTTATTTACCGTATATTCACAGATGTAGCGGGCGATATAAGTTACAGTATTATTCAAATAGACCACTTTGGGTGTGATCAAAAGCATTGATGATAGCCTGTGCAAAATCAAGGTTAAATTTGTATTTTTTTGGTGATTAAACCACAATAGCTATTGATTTATGCTTTGGAGGCAAAAAGTACCAGATTACCATAACGTTTCCTGAATGTGGTACCCAAAATTAGCTAAGAATGCTTTTTAAGGTATAACTAATGTCTGATAATCATCAAAATAACACTTGTTATATAATTAAGATTTAGAAACAGTTTATGATACCTGTACGTCTCCTTACTTTAATACCATAAAATAAGGCGACATCGAAAAATTTGTCAGACTGAGGATATGAACCAAATAACTTCAGAAAACCATCATATACCGGAAAAATTATGCTTTAAATGTTTACATTTAGAATCTAGCGTAAGCAGAATTGCTCGGATGACAAATCGCACCACCTCAATGACTAAAGACAACTGAAAATTTGCTGACAGAAAGTTGTTCTATTATTAGCCTCAATCTCAATCGTTCACATAAACTCAATTTGTAACATTCAATAAATTTACCTATACTTGTACTGACCTCTTTACCATATCCTATAAAATTACGCTTCCTTTTTTAAAGTGCTAGGTAGACAGTGTATTAACGAATATAGTAGAGATTGTAAGTGTTTGTGTTCACCCAGAACTTAGCAGACCATTCTTTGCCTTTCTGGTGAAAAATCTACATTATATATTTTGTGAAATTAGGGCGCATTTAAATGGCCTCTGTTTAAAATCCATCGGTCATGCAAGCAATTGCGAGAGCTTCAAAAAGACTTATAAATAAATATATTCTCATAGCTTAGTGGTTGAATTACAGGACAATTGTAGCAATTCACTTATCCGTTTGGTCCACAGTCGCAGGTATTTGCCCTTCTACTTTGCTGTTTTAGGAATGGATAGTCGCAAGACAAAAGACAGCCAATAGTTACGAGATAGGCGATGACCTAGAACACAGTTTCTACCTCCAAGATCGTTTCAGCCAGTTCGCAAAAAACACCCAAGTTGAAGGTGCCCGGCGCCTAAGAGCGATGCTATTTCGAATTGACCAACTGATAGCCAGGGGTCACAGGAATCGCAACGAAATCGCACTTGGCAAGGACCAGCTCAACGAAGGTTGGGCTGACCTAATTGAAATGATTGATACAAGGAAACAGTTACTTCGTTCCTCTATCGAGATGCACCGGTTCGTCTCAGATACCCAGGTACGAAAGCATGTGATTGTGGATAAGTCAAGTACACAGAAATGCGTGCATGAAGTTAGATCACGTTACGGTTGAACACAACTGGTTCTACTTTCGGATCCTTGTTTAAAAAAACATAGTTTTACAATCTTTGCCAGACCACGAGCATGTCAACCTATTTTTAATCTAGCACGTCTTGTAACTTCTGGCGTATCAACAATCATAAAAGTCTTTTCGTTCTTCCTCCTCAACTTGGGAACAGGCAAATTTGGTGAAATAACTCCAGCCTGTTTTGTTTGAAATTGCAACGATTCCATTTAGATCGTTCGGCGTCAGTTTTACAACAAGTCAAAACCTATATACCAATAATCACCCTGTGTATTGATTCGTCCATTCATGCGTCTATTCATATCATAAGACGCGAAGCAACGAAATATTTACTTCACTCATTTACACGAGTGCGTCCGCTGCACGGACGAGGGCTACGCCCATGCTATCGGGCCTGTCAGGTATGCACGCGCAGGTCGTTTGAGCAAGGCCACTCTCTGTCCCCTTCCCCAGCTCACCCACTGCCACCTCTCTGAGTCAATGGGTGTAACACGAAAGCGGATTTGCTCAAACAGATTTGTGGTTTTCTTCTGGAGAACGTCAGTTTTCTCCTGTTTTCTTTATGCATAGCAGAAAATAATTTGAGTTGTAAACCTTCAGAATGTGGACGACACTATGTACATAATCGTGGTTCTAGCCTTTTAGGTTCCTCTTGGCCAGTCAGCTTAGCGCCATCACTGGCGATCTTTACGCTTGGATAACTAATCCGATACTATTGGGTGATTTGTAATCGCGGCTCCCCGCATGCGTCACCGCGCCTTCGCTAGGAGCACGTAGCTAATTTAATTGGTAATTTACCAATGAAACCATGCGAACCATTCCATTAGTTCCTGTTTTAAGGCCTGGACTAATCGTTAAGGCCTACGGTAACCAACTAGTACATATTAAACTGTCCTGCTGGTAATTCACGTCGATCAGGTTCGAAGTCACCACTTTAATTATTGTCGCATTTCGTTCACTTTTAAAGATACTTAATGTCTGCGTTAGCGTCAGAACATAATATGGATATTCTTTCCTGTTAGTTCCAATCATTGTCCCGAAGGTCTTGACATGCGTTTTTTGTTATTTTTATGTCCATAACCTCCAAAAATAAAGGTTTTGACTAAAAGTGGGATTCAGTTTCTCAAAGAGATCAATAATATCACATGAGTGAAAAAATGTGGGTATCCTGCTAAACTATACTCTTTTCGAAGAATTACCGTTTTGGTTGTCTTGACAATAATTTAAGAGGAAAATAGTTCATTAACTCTAAAATCGAAAACACATAATATTTATATGATCCAAAGGACTGTAAATATTACGTAAGTGTATTTTGTGCTGTTTCCGAGTAACGTTTTGGCATTGATAAACGTTTATTTTTAAATACATGCTTAAATAGATTTCAGCTTTCACTAAACTCAAATGCTAAGCTGTAATTAACTAGACTCGAATAAATAAATAAAGGGTGTTGTGGTGGCTTGAGACAAATTTAGTGAAATAAACAAGATTACGATAAATCAAAGAGAAATAGGTAAAAGTGGAGGCAGTGACGGGACTTGAACACGAACCACGCGCAGACCTCGACTGCTGTGCTGTGCCCCCTCGCTTGCCAAGCGTGCACAATCACTGGTAAACAAGCCACATGTTAAAATTTAACTGGAGAAATCCTGTCATCCTGGTACGAAGGGTATATTCCTCTTAATCATAAATGAGACGCATGAAAATCCGGTCCTAAGAAGGTCAATTATCTCCATGTAAAATTTATTTTGGCAAAAAGTAAAAGACATCTGTAGTGGTTATATTTTGACGTAAACAGCGGTTTTACAGCATTCCTTTAGCTAATCAAGAGTCATATTCCAAAAAGCGTTTACACAATATACTTATCAATAAATTTTTATTAGTTCGGTATAAATGTTTAAAAAAAGTGACAAAAGTTGGCCGTTTTCGAAGATGGCTAATCAGACAGACCTTTCCACACGACAGAGCCAGTTGTCTAACCACGAGTAAGCTGAGTACCTCAGAATTGCGTAAAATAATAGAGGAGCTCCACTACATAAAGTTAGACTGGGTTAACTTGGCTCGCATTTCCTTGCCAGACTTAAGTGAAGGAGTCCCTTTTTGTAGTACCTCGAAGCGCAAATTCATGACTGCTACCAACATATGCCGATAGAGCCCACTATCGACATGGTCATAGGCCGTGACACACCTAATGTCAAGGCCACAGGTGGCATCGCCTCCCTTCAGCGGAAGCATGTTGCACTGCAACTGCTCTTGGAACACATAAGAACCTGCTGTGTCAGGATGAATAGCATGGCCGGCAGACTTCTTCCACGGTACGCTGGAGAACAGGAAAAGCAATTGCTTGCCCGAAGAGATTGTGTCCTTGAGGCTGCAAGGCAACTTGCCGCAGAAGCTGAGAAGCGATCTAGGCAGTTGGATGAGGCGGAAAGACTTAAAAAATTCTTCCTCACCGCTCGATGCCTCTTGGATTGGTTGGCTGAAAAAAAAGAGAAGATGAGCTGCCCGGATGCGCTAAGGTGAATTACTTAAAGTTGCGTATAAATGATTGCTGACAGTTTTTATCTAAAAACACGCAAGTGATTCTTAGAGGATCCGTTTTCACCATTTTGAGGCAGGACTGAGGTACGCCGTCTCCTATCCTTGTTATTATGCTCCTTTCAGCACTCAAGAAAATAGCCCAAATGGCCCTTTGCTCAAGGTCTTCACTAATGGGTAGTAGGGAATAACTTTTCCACACATTAACACGTTAGCCAACCTTCAAAACAAGTATTTTATTGGCAGAAATGTAATGCATTAGCAGTGACTACTTCAGTTTTATTTCATAAACTAAAACAGGTTAAACGAGACAGCAGTCAGCTTGTGTGTGCTAAAGGCTTTTAATAACGTATTTGTGGCAGCATAAATACTACCTCACAATATGGATGAACAAAGCCACTTATTTTGTAGCGCGTTCATGCTGAGTTATTTCAGTCTTTGGTACCCATTCATTACATAAAATAAACTGATAAAGTGGTTAAAATGGAGCTCGGATTCGCTCTTCTTTATTCATGATTTCGTTTTGAGAACCATAGTTATGAGTTGAACTTTGAAGTACTTAATCACTTTATATGTTACATAGAGGTTCATTTATACACACATATATTTCTCAGCCGAACGATCTACGGCGTCGAACGCCTTGTCGCTGACCACCGCCAGCTGTTTGCTGAGCTCAGCATCAAGGTAAAGCAAATAGACGAATGCCTGGACATCGGCCGCACCATTTTAAGTGCCTCTGAATCCTCGTTCGGCATCAGTTGTCTTTACGTCGACTTGGCGGGGCCCCAGGGTAAGCTCCGTGAGACCTGCGTGGTTCTCGCGACCGAGCGCGTCATCACGGAGGCTCTGTGGCGGGAACGTTGGGAGCGACTGGCTATGCTTCTGGACTCGCGCTACTTCCAGCGGGACGCTGCGGCTGCTGAATCGTGGCTTAACAGCCGTGAGGTCTACTTGGTCTCGGTCAGACGAAGCATCGGTGATACACTAGCGGAAACTCTGGCACTACTTGGCGCCCACTACGCTTTTGAGAAAGCTTGTGCCTCGGCGGAGGAGAAGTTTGCTGCTTTAAAAAGGCTTACCAAGGTGAGCCATAACCGCTATTGGTATGTGGAATTATTTGTACCTTTCATTCGTAAGGAGCTCATTAGGCTTTTTTCAGATGAAAAGAGATTTTAATTCCTTTGTAGCAATGTTCCCATTTTCTCACCTCAATTTAATTGTAATACATAGATTACAGATTTTAACTTGCATACATATGTGCTGAATTTCACAGCAAGTCGCTTACTTTCAAGGCACGATAACTTTGCATTATTACCTATGTAACCGTAATTACTAGCATGCTGTCACGCACTTCACTCATTAGTGGAAGCCCATTTAGTGTCACGGTTGATCATGTAGTTGATGAACATGGAAGAAACTATTCATGCCAGTGAAGGTCCATCTGCAAGCCTGTGTGAGTGGGCTTTACGCAATGGGTATGATGTTTTACAACTGAACACTTCGTATGGGCCTTGAAGTTTAAGGTACATACTACAAATAACTCAATAATTCTGCTATCATCCATGTATTGCATTTCTAAAACGATGGTAATTGTTCTACTTCCAACTTGCGCACTCCATGACGATAGAAGATGCGTCTGGAGGACGCTACACGAGCCGTTCAATTGGTCAACGTATTATAACACATTGCTCTCGAAATAGAAATGAATTCGAACCATTTTGTGTATTAATTTGTGCACTTTTATGCTAAAACAATTTACGTGTCCTTGATTGTGCATTACAAAGCTGGAAATACATGCACTTGAGTGGAAACCTGAAGATGCCAAACGCCACGAAAAACAGAAACGCGAAAACATTCGACGGGCTGTCCATGAGTTTCTTCCACCTTCGCATACCTACACAAGACCATCTGCAGCCAAAAAAAACCAGCCCACCCGACTCACCACCTCTTCCCCGGGGTCGAGAGATCCGATCATATTTGAGGAAAAACCGGCAGAAGTACCCCCCATGGTACCTCAAGGCACTCGACAGTCATGTCTACAACCATTCGGCGCGCCTCTGTTATCTGGAAGACCTTTGCCGCTAATGCGAACTGTTCCTCTACCGCATAAGTGCACCTCAAGGGCTTCTCTGCCTTTGGTAGCGGTTGCAAAGCAGGATATTGTTGAGGAAGAGGACGCGCTGAGACCGTCATCCTCATCAACCACTCGAGTTACTTCACCAAGGACTCCACTAGACGAAATAGCCCTAATGACACAACCTTTTCAAGATTTAGAGGAAGGAAAAACCATTGAGACAACATCAAGTACGAGGTATGGCATTTTAATGGTAGAATCACGAATTCAAGTGCTCAACTTACATGATCACTGGTCTAAAACTAACTTGATCATCAGGCCTAATAAAAGAGCTACGGTTCGCGTTTTGTTGAATAATGGCATGCCGGTCGCCCCTCCTCTCTGCCAATCTCACCACGTGCCACACGAAATCCTGGAGATTTGCACTGCGAATTTACTGGTGATCGTGATTGAGTAGGCAGTCATCGACTACAATGCGGAGGCAGAATTTGCGCATTACTGGCGAACTCATGTTACTACAATGTCGTGCAGAGATTCGAAAAGTCAACTTTTGTGAGATTAAATTGTGACCTTTCCTTCTGATGTGCTTACCTTAAAAGGGGCAACTTGATCCATGACTGGTGCATCCGCGGTAATTTTTGTGGGAAGGTGTATGATTCCACTTCTGTTTGAAGCTCCCCTACTTCGTGGCCACTCACATTTTCTTTCCAGGCTGCTACGAAAATTCCAAAAAACATCATGCAGCTAGAATATTTTCCCAATCCCTATAAATTAGGTAATCGGGTGATTTCGACTAACATCATGTTAAATGGTGAACGAACAGAAATACAACATATATGTATATCGCTTAAGCCCCAAGTAATTTGCACTAACTTATTGAAAGTACATACATACTGCTACTTTCTTTCCACTGTGACTTTGAGTGTGCAAAAAGAAACTTCAGTAACAGAGCAGCTCATCGTTGATACTCAAAAGTTCTCTTTGTAGGCCACAGGGGAGTTTCCCTAGTACTACTGCCCATACACCGCCACTAAGCAGGAAAATAGCAGTTCCAGAGGAAGATGCCACGCTTATTGGTGTAACCACAACTGCAGAGAGATTTCCACGGGTTGAAGGTCCGCTCGTACGGAAGTGGGACTTCGATGCCGGTGGTGAGCGACATGTGAGAGGTCGCGGGTGGACTTCGACATATGTGACATTGCTGGACGGCAAAATGACATTTTACAAGGACCGGCGAACCTGTCGCGAACAGCAGGATGAAACGCTTCGTGGAGAGCCAGCATTGGACCTGAAGGGTGCAATAGCTCTACCGGCTTTGGACTACGCAAAGCGACAGTTCGTCTTTCGTCTAAAATTGCTTTCGGGAGCTGAGTACTTGCTACAGGCAGTTAACGATGAAATACTTCAGCGATGGGTTGACGCAATCAACGACTCTGCAAGTAAAATGGCAGCAAATGATCTTGCACAACGACCGGAAAGGGCCCGTTCGCACTCTGCCACATCGCATCACTCAAGAATATTACCTAATAGTCAGCAAAGACAACAAAAACGACCTCATAGCTCTTTTCGTCGCATTCTCAAGCGAAGCTAAGGAATTTTATCCTTATTCCATATTTCGTTTTCTTAGTGGTTTCGGACCTTCGAGAAGAAGCCAATGCAAAGCTTCTTTGTAGTTTTCTTTTTACAGAGCCACCAAAAACACAATTTAGGTTTACCTGAAATTATCCGACTGAGTATCCCTAGGTGTGTTTACTTTACTGTTACGGTGGCCATTACGACTGCTTTGTAATTTTCGTGTTTTGTTGGTGTGGTTTGTAAATCTTACGTTAATAATATTACCTCCTGTGTGTGAGGTTTTGGTCATCTTTTTTTCAAAGTTGATCCCTTGATGATAGACAAAGTGCACTGGATGATGGAGCGTAGTAACACCTGATTGTTTCTCATCTGTCTCCTCACACTAGTTTATTGATTTAAAGAAAGGTTTTCCTATGCAACCTCAACACTGGTTAGTTCCTCCTACTCGAAACCTTAGCTACATGATTCTGTCATGTGTTGTTTGATTTTTCACTCATCCTTTTTTCATAAATAAGTTTTGAAGCAGGAAATTGTTAGATGCTAATTTTACTTAACAAATTAACTGCCTCAAAATAAAAAAAAATCTGGCTGCGAACAATCTCTTATAACGAGAGAAATATCAGGCATAAAGGTACAATGTAAGGAACTGTTCGTAAAATTAACTTCATTTGCGAAAATAACTGAAAATAGCTAAATCATATACTTTACAATTTTCATACTTGGAAAACTTGCGAAGCCTAGCTTCCAACATATGATGTGAGCACCTTGAACATTTTTGTGCCTCATTTATAGCAATTTTAAAATAAGTCGGAACAATTTGCCTTTTTGTCGAAAGATTTCCTATAGGTATTCCTTGTATTTTGAATAATTTAGTTCGAAACTATTAAGCGAAGAATTGGTTATTTGTTGAGATGTTAATTTTATAAAACCAAACAGTCATAAGTTTATGTGTGGCTTATTGTAAGCCAAAACGTGTTAATTAAGATCACAGAATATTTTCCTAAATTCATTATATGTTAGGCGCTCGAAATACAAATTTTGCTTCCCGACATCTAAAGGAGATAATGTGACTGGCCATAAATAGATTTCATGTACAAAATTACCGAGCATTGGAAACTGAAATGCGTGATAGACTTTCACGACCGGTGTTCTTTCATTAGTTTGAAAAACATGGCTTTAATCTCAAGCACATAGAATTGATTTTATCTTGGCAACAACCCTTCTGCATAATGCCAACTCTAGCAATGATAATTTAGTTAATTTTAGTTTAACAGTAAAAAAACCGGTACATTTCATGTAAAAATATTGATCTTAATAATGTGCTAGTCAAACGATATTGTAAGACTGATTGCTATTAAGGCATCACGCAAGACCTATCAATTAACGATGCTTGGAGAACTGAATTTTTAAGCAAGGTGAACTGCATTTTGTTGAAGCGGCGTATACTAAAAGAAAACTGGTTTGTCTTTAAAATGAAAGAACTACAACAAAATTAAAATTCTTTATATTTCAGTAATTCGTGATGGTTCAAGACCAAAACCCGGCCGTCGCACACAGATTCGCCAACCCACTTAACACTGCATCCAAATGAATCACATGGGATCGTCAGTATCCGTCTATGTATCTCTCCACCACTAATTACACACATCTTGCCAACCAGCAGTTTGTACTTCGACTGGTTCAATCAAACCGTTTTAATCAGAAACCTCATTAATCATACACGACTTTGAATACACACAAATGAAAGCATCACAAATAGGTTAGGTCATTAAACGAACGATTGTATCCGTCACCTCCAGTGCCCACTGTTATCCCGAGTTTAAAGTAAGTGTAGTCGGATAAAGATCAACATAACGTAACGCATATGTATGTGTCATACTTGCAGATCGTATAGGAAATCTCTTCACAAATGCATGTTGAAAAAGCCAGTGCTTTCGGAAATCAGCAAAATTGCATGACACATTTGATCCGCTTGTATGTTTATGATTTCCACAGTTTATATGGACTTCTACAGATCTTTAAATGATTGGTATGATTTATATTGCTGATTCCTCAGCAGAAGGCAAGTGCCCGAAATAGGTTAAAGGGTCCAATTCAAAAAATTATTAATTGGTAATAACTAAACTTCTGGTCAGATTAATCATCGTGTCTTATAAAACTGTGGACAGAAATGGGGAAGGTCAAATGCATCCTTACATACACAACAATTAATCGGTAAGATACGAAAAATATATCCGGTATGAATTAACATAGCAAACCAGTAGTGGCAGCAAACATTTTAAACACAACGCAAGCACTTCTTTGGTGGAACGATTGACCACTAATGTCAAAAGAGGGTGTGTCTACAATAAAAATATCCGAAAACATCCGTTGTCTAGGTGTGAATAATGACCTAAATCAAATCAAACAGACCAGATTATGCATTTATAAAGACAAAAGGAAACGTTATACCTGTCAATCAGACTCTGGCCAGAAATAAATCAATGCAGTTAAATGTTTTCCATCTTTGATTAATGAAATAAGTAAAGTATTGCAAAGCAGTCGCAAAAAATTTAACAATTGCAGAAGAACCAAAATTCACTAAGAGAATGTTTGGCTTTATACATCGTGTCGAAAATTTTTAACAATGTTTGGAACTTTGATGGAAAGGGATGTCGTTCTCCCCATAAACTTAAACTTCATTTATCAAATCACAAGCAGCCAACTTTCATTAATTTTCCAGGTTATGAATTACACTCGATTGGGTCTACTGATAAAAAGGGTTGGAGTGTGTACTCTGACGAAATATTGTTATAAGATGACTGACCGATTTTAAAGGGTCTATGAACTGGACTAAAAATGCAGACATAATTAAGTAAAAGAGATAAATCTTGCAGTCAAAAAGCTAAATTAATGTGTTGTTTTGAGAAGCCACATACTGTCAACTCTAAAGTGAGCCCAGTTTTTAAACCGGGGATCAAAATGTCAGTGTTAGATTTAGGTTTCAGAACAAATATGGAAAATTACATTTACTTGTTATAATCTTTTTTAAATGCATTCATTCATTTTTTGGAGATTTTTATGAAAGTTAGATTTTTTGTGGGTTGACAATGACGATTTTATCACAGGGCTCAAAAATCGTCCTAGAGAGCAGTGGAATAAAGTAAAGTCATTTCTAATATGGTGTTCAAAACAACTAATGACTTTACAAGGAAATCGTACTTTATTTTATGCAAAAAACGGTTGAGACACCACATAGCTTAACATTTATATCATGGTGCCATTAGATGAGTGGAATAAATAGGATCATTTTAAACATGTAGAAACATCACTTAAACCAATGCAATACCATCAATTTAATTTTAAATGCGACTCATTTTAGGTATTTTAACTATGCAAACATTCATGGATCCCTCTGAAAACTATCCAGTTGATACATTTTTACTACAGTGCATTAGGAAAAATTTGTTTGCTTACACATTCAAAATTATGACCATTCGGTCACGCACCCAAAAAATACGTAAAAGTTGAAATTAACAACCTACCTGAGCCATTAGTATTTCAACATTTTTCTTAAAGTACTTTGCACTTTGTAACTTGCGAGGAATTTTGCCAGCTTATAATTTTTGTAAACCCTGTAAAGTTACTGCTCTTCTTTATAAAATATTTTCAACAATCAGTTTAAGTCACGTACAGATCGTACAAAATTTCTAGACCTATCAATGTATGGTTGTATTTTATTTATTTTTTCTAGAAGGAAATATTTATATTCTTAAGATATTTGTTAACATATTTAAATCGCTTTCAGTGTTATAGCGCACCAATAGCACTCAAGAGATATTTCGTACAATACGGGTTGTCCCAGTCTGCCACTGTTTTGCCACTTTGTTTATGTATTTGTAACTTTGAGGTTAGGAGCATCATGCTGCGTAGAATACAGTTTCGGGTCGTGCATGTCACTAGTCAGGATGAAAAATTTCCAGCGACACAATTGAATCACTCCTCAGTAAGCACAAAAGGGTGGCGGAGCGCAATAAATTGTCCTTATCCACAGCAAATTGTGATTGAATTAGAGAAACCTTCAAGAATTAGGAAGATTCAAATTTTGTCTCACCAGTTTCTTATCGGTTAGACTCTTTACCTTGTTTAATTGTGGTGTAGCATCGAAGATTGAGTTCTTTGTTGGAGATTCATGTGGTGAGGATACAATTAATATGGACACTTCAAGATTCCATCGATTGGGGTAAGGTTTTCAAATACACACATTTGTATCCGTGTAGCTATGTAGAACTGTCTGATAACGAGTCCACAAGTTATAAAGCACGGGAGTTAAAGTCCGTATACGTTAATACTTTGGGCTCGTGTTTTCAAATCTTCTTCTATAAGAATTACGCGAACACTGAAAACCCGTTTAACCAAATAAGCATTATTGCTTTGAACTTTATTGGTAATGCTGATGATTGCTCCCCGGTTGATTCATTGCCTTATGCTGATATGACCTCGAAGTAAGTTTTGTTATACGTTTCTAAAATGCCTGCTCGCATATCTCGTTCTCATTTTTTTGTTTGATAAAGCTTAAAGTATATCTCTCCAATGGATGATTTGGCATTTGGTGTCTACCAAGATCCTCGCTTAGTGGACATTATTCGTCGATTGCAGTGCCAGAAAATAGAATACGCTCGACGTAGGTTTTTGTAACGTGCCATCAACGTGCTTTTTTCATACCATTACATGTCTCAGTAATAATATTTTCCTGGTTTTAGAAGAAAACTTTGATATGGCAAAAAAAACACGAGATGCTATTCGCTACATCCAGGAGGTATGCTTTTGAGAAGGTTTTAAACAATTTAGAATTGAGACTTATCACATCCAGAATCAAAAGAATTTGAATAGTTTAGCTTCATCTTGGATGCTAACGTCACTAAACGTATTAACCACTTACTTATTGGTAAAGTGTGAATTTACAGTGTGTGAGTGGTGCGTTTAGGGCATTCTAACTATAAGGTCACAAATTCTATTTATTTAATAATCACGTTAATTTTATGTGATGTACTATTCTATTCAAACATTTAGGCTGGGGAACAGATATTTCGGCTCGAAATGGAGAAACAGGAGGCTGTACAGTCTGAAAACTACGAAGAGGCCAAAGAGAAGAAGGACCAGATTTCCCAAATTCGAGATAACTTGGCTCGGAACATTGATCTTGACTCGTTGCTTACTGCAGGAGTACGTCCTCAGCATTACTCCCGACCAATTATGGTAAAGTTCGCCACTGTTCCGCGTCGATCAGAAATTTTTATTTCTCTGCTACTGTAACATTGTCTATATTCCTATTTAGTGGTAATAGCAAAGTCAGGAAGATTCATTTTACTTTATAAATGCTTTTTACGTGTGCATCGTCGATATAAAATATTCGTGTTTGCCTGTGAATATTCTTGGGTATAGTAATGATATTAACTTCCTGTCAAGTTTAGTATTTTTTAGTTGTCAACGCGATGATTTAAACATCGTCAAAAGAATAGCAATCGAAATGTTTTGCAAAAGTATAATCAAATAACAGTCGTTGCAAATAGTTGGCAATGCAGGGTATTCAATCGTTGTTTGCTATCTCTTTCACCGCACCAATAATAGGCACTTGACATTTTGCGTTTCACAGCGATAGATTCGCTGCAGTAAATTCGCTGCTATTTTATATTACCACACGAGGGTTGGAAATATCTCTTTAGTTAGACTTCACTAAAACCTCACAAGGAGGACGAAAGTGGATAGAAATAATTCCTTAGACCAAGGCGATTTCGGTTAAGAGACCCCATCTGTATTTCAATAGCTAAAAGCCTGTAGTGAAGGTTAAAAAATCAATTCAGAAATTTAGCTATAAACGAGGACATCTGCCTAGTCTAAAGCTCTTATATTACCTGAGTTTTGCTCTAATTTCTGCTCGCTTCCTGTTTCCTTCCTTTCTCATCTAACTTGTTTTATGTTTTGTAACTCCTAGCCGCGTAATGATTCACCAAGTAAGCAGGTTTTTTCATTTACGTTTTTGGTTTTTGAGCACAATTAATTGTGTCAGCACCGCCCCTGTTTGTCATTTTCGTTGTTTTGTTGCACTGTTCAAGAGGTGAGTAGAGAACTATTTGCAAGATATTGTGTGTTTTTGGCGCCAGGTATGAGGTTTGTTGGACGTCTATCAAATAAGTTGAGCCCTTTACTGTCGCTTAAATCGCCATTATTTGATTCTGCTGACTTGTTCGGTAGTGTCTCGTTGTCGTGGCGGATATTCAGTGAAATCGCATACTGTGGAAGCTAAAATTGACTTGGAGCGTGGTGCATCCGACGCCACAGCAACCAGTGGAGACGCCTTTCAAGCGCGTCATTGCCACAACGCGGCTGATGAGCGCCCTTTACCTACCTTGCTCAAAAAACAGGCAAACAACAACAACAACTCTGAGGTTCTGCACTCCAGGCAACGCGATCAATCTTCGCCTCCACCCTCTTCTCCTAAGCCAGATGATCATGAGCAAGGCCTTTCCGAGGCAGTAGCTAGACAGGCAGCTGTTGCAATCGACGTAGTTGGGCTTCCTCTGGTAAGGAATTTTGCCAACCAAATACAAGAAACCAAAGCTTTCTTATTTGCTACGTGTTCGCCCATGGAATGGATTGCTTGACAGAATTAAGTGGGTCAGATCAGTCAACAATTAAGTGAGTTGATTTCGGCCGAAAAGGCAACAGCGTAGTTTTCTGTGCTACCTCAAATTAACCTCTGTAATGCAGCTTAGTAAATTATCCAGTGCAATACAAGGTTCATTTTAGCCCCAGCTTGGAACTCATGTCCTTATCAATCCAAACGTCTTCGCAGGCGTTACACGAGACGTTGATCTGCCCTCCTCTTTTAGGTGACATTGTTCTACAGCAGGTCATGGAAGCTACGCGAACGGGCGCTGTCGGAATTGGAGGAGCGTGTTTCTCGTGAGCCGTTACCTCCACCGGTGTCTCTTGAGTCTGTCTCTTCATTGTCTGATCCCCTTGGAGAACTTCGGTCAACTACATTCCTTCTTAAAAAGGCGCTCGGTGACCAGGTTAGTTGTAACATCGTTCTATCTTTGGACACTTGCTTGAATGGCGTAAATGCATTCAGTTTCTTAGACAAGTGTGTTTGTCCAAGCCACTTTGTTGGACCGTTATTTTTTTTTCGTCCGAAGGTACTTTCAGTTTATCGGAAGGCCCTTGATTTAATACATCCGACAATTGTTGAATTCGGCGAACATCATCGTGTTGCAAAGCCGGAAGTTATCGCCTCTATTGACAAGTTAGTTGGGCTTCTACTTCAGCGCACCGGCGATTCATCGGTGCGAATTAGGGACCTCACGAAGGGCAAATTAGTTGAAATGGGGAAGTGGCCAATCGTAAGTTGCCAACCACCCTTTTCACTATATTGCCGTTGCACAATTCTATTAGACCTTTCATTACGACATCTTGCTTTTTGGATTACCTTTCATTTAATGTTCACTGCCCTACCAGTTACCGCTCGCAACAACTGTTTGAGTAAATTGAGTTGTTAATTACGGTGAGTTAGTAAAAGTCGTTCGCTTTTTAGTACAAGGTAAAGCTTACTTTTTATTAAAAAAAGAATGAGCTCAAATCAGTAATACGTTTCTCATCCCGTCCATTAACCTTTTGTCATTATTCCAGCAACTTTATAATTCTACGGACAGAAGTCATTTCAAACAAACACCCTACTCATTCAATGTTTGTTTACTCAAACGGTTACCTAGCCGGTTTTCAATGTTGAGTGCTGATATTTTTGTCCCTGTAAACTTTATAGTTTCGACATGGTGGAGGATTCTGGCACGAGATCCTCCGCCCCTTCCACGCAACCACATTAGAACGTCTAGCCCTGAGCCAAGTAGAAATCGTGAGTGACATCTACGCTGATTTGGGGACGTCGAATGATGATGATGAGAGCCCGCAGCGCGATGGTACTGGTGGAAATGGCTTTATGGTTGAAGATTTTGTCACGTTTGCTGTCCAGGCCCTTGAGCATAGGTCAAATGAGGTATGACTGTTTCTGTTAATTTTTGAAAATAATGAGTGAAATGGGATCTGGTGTTACTAGATAGGCTCAATTTTTGTTCTCATGCTGTTCAGCATGGGTCAAGATTGCCTTCATTGCTTTTGCACACCCAGTAATCTAGGCAATCAAGTTTAGCTCACGCAAAAACATTTTAAGATTATGAGAATGCTTATTGTTGAGGACTGTGACACATGAAATCAGTTTCATGGAAAGTCAGTTTTTCTGAAGTGCTGAGTTCAATTGTGTTGCAAAATGGAAATCTAAGGGAGGACGATTTGACTGTTCCAGGTTGGTGCAAAAGTAATGTCCACTTACAGGGTTTTTACTTAAAGTAAAGAACGAAATCATTAAGAAAATGTTCTTAAATAAAGTCTGCGCTGAAATAAATGCACATTTAGTTATTGTGAAATACGAAACAGGAATTAGTGGCAAAATCTTGGTAACTGCTAGCTAAAACATTTTTACTAAGAAAAGGCGCATTAAATTTACACAAACCCGATAGTAAAACTTTCCGTAATGATAACTGAAGCCACCAAGCCTTTCGAGGTCCATCTGTAACATTCTAGGCAGTGGTCAAATTTTCTGTAAGCTGGTTGGTGATTGGGGTGTGAAGTTATTGCATTTTTTCCGAACACATAAGTTGGGGGAATATTGATGTAGTTCGTTTAGTAAACTACATCGAGGTTGTCCACGCATGGCGGCGACTAGTTATGTACTACTTGCGTTTTTCGATCTAGGAACTGGAGTGATATCTTGAAGTGTTTGGGGTGTTATCTGTCAATATTACCCACACTGTTGGAGCTATCATTGTACAACCTAGAGCGTAGTGTCTAGTCTTAGCTGACAAATTGTAAAGCCTAGGTGTTTTCGAGTGTTACGTTATTACGTGCTCTCAGTTAATTTCTAAAATGAAATGAGACAATCAAAAGCTGTTGTTTTGCCATGTAAGACCTTATGATGCCCTGCTCCTGGTTGAATCCCAGTTCCTTAATACGAATCGAGTACCTTCTGAATCAATTTATGGGTTTTCAACCCTGGGAAACCACAAAAATCGGGTTGCCTTCTTTCCTTTCAGTCTAAAATTTTCGGTAGTTGTTGTTCCGCTCTAAGTAACCAGTGAGGAGTCCTATCACTACGCAGATTCCGAATTTGCATGATTCCATCGATGTAATCATTTATAAATGTGATAGTAATGTTTATGAATCGCTGGTAGATCCACACAACAGTTAGCCCTCAATCAATACTTTCCAGGTTTGACTTCCTAAAGTGTATTTAAGCATACTGCACAACTTTTCATGGGTTTTTAGAAGGCTGTAGAGGCCCAATTTCACAAATCTAACATCCACATCAAAGACAAGCTAGTCCGGTAGGGAAAACGCAGTTTAATTTGGATGTGAAATATCTTTACAGTTGTTTTAATCAATTTTTATTTGACTATGATTCTGCTCATTCGGATATCAGCATTAATCTACTATTCTCTCCGTCTCCCATATTTTGGACGCTTTTATACACAACCGCCGCCCTCCGCTGTTCACTGTTTTTCTTTTCCGCAGGTCCGTGAACTTGCAGAAGCTTTGGTTGTGGCGCTGTATAGGGCCGAAGATAGGGCCTTAGTTCGCCTAATTATGCCGCCAAACGACTGGGAGGCTCAACGCCAACCGCTGTACAGAAGGATATACGCTAAATTCGATAGAATCGATGGTCGTGAACACTCTTCTGTTTCACCGCCATCCCACAAGCTGCCCCAAAGACCACACGAAGAGGTGCTTGCTCCACTTTCTGGGTTTGAAGCTAGCTATTTTCTAGCCTTGATTTGCATCCAGCTGTCTTTGTGCTCCGAACCCTGTATTTATCAAGTGCACAATTTTGGTCAACCAAACCACCGGAGTATTGACCACGTAATCTCACATGTATCCTCGGTCTGAATTTCAGTTTTCGTAAGAATTAGGTTTCTAGCAATGCAAAGCTTTTATGCAGATGCTAATTACGACCCACGGCAGAGTAATATTCGATGACTAAGTCAGTTGTAATTCGTGGTTAAATTAGAAATGCATATCTGCACAAAAAGTGAATTTTTCCTTGCTACTTTCGTTCAACTTCGTTTAGACAAACCTACGATCTGGACAACAGAATCGGCCTCCTGTGTCATCATCAAAAATTACAAGCACAGCACCCAAATTGCCTGATCCAGTGCTAACAAAACCCTCTCCAATAGCAATGGCTTCTCCAGCTGCAACGGCAAGTGAATTAGACCTCCTGCTAAGTCTCGACAAGACGTGCATTTTTTGTGGAGAACAGAATGACGAATTCACTGAAGAGGCTCTCGATATGCACTACTGGAAGGCTTGTCCTATGCTGCGGCGATGTCCAAATTGCAAGCAGGTGTGTTTTTCGTAGGTGGCAATCACGACTGTGCTTAGAAGAATTACTAGGAGCTGGGACATTTGAAATTTCTTTCCTGTCATTTCGCCATAAATCACGTCAAAATTAAGGGGAACGTGCCGTTAAATGTCGTCAATGTTACGGCTATCTTACTGACACGAAACTGATGTCACCTCAAAACATTTGTCCCCTACTTGGGCGCCAAATTGTTATAATCATGGGAAGGGTTATGTCATTATTTCCGTGTTTTCGACTGTGGCACGTGTCATTTTACTTCCGTAAATTTTTAACTTGGTTACATGAATTAAGAAGAGAAGGAGTGGCACATTAAAAGGCGTTCTTTAGCATTTTAAGCAGACGACTATGTTACTTCCAGGTTGTCGAAATATCCGGATTGACTGATCATCTGCTACACGAATGCCCCGAGTCCAGCAAAGTGGGCGGCTATCGACGGTGTGAACGCTGTAGCGAAGCCGTCTCAAATGCCTCCTTTGTCACACACAACTCTTGCAAGGCAGCCCCCAACCCAGATCTGCGTTGTCCCCTGTGTCACACCGACTTGGTAGACGATAGTTTTGCGGGGAATAATAACGAGGAATCATGGAAAGCTCACTTACTTAGAGAGTGCCGACAAAACAGCCGCATTTCGCGACCCCAGATGACTGGAGTGACGTCGAGGGTCGACAGTGTTCAAGGTGCGCTCTTTCTCTAAAAATGTTCTCTTAACTGTTACGTGTCATATAATTTTTTTCTCTTTCTTAGCCCCATTAAATGTCCCCGAGGACGTTTTTCCTGGAAAAAAAGCAATTGTCAAAAGGGTTAATGTACGCTGACTTTGGAACATTCTTTCACGAATCATGGACATTTCTCATGCTCCGTTCGTTTTTACAGTTCATGTACTGCAAATTTCCTCTTGCGGAATGTTACTTAACGTGTGCTTATTCTTTGCCAATGTTTCTACGGAAAAACTAAAGCATGCGTCGCATGCATTGCTTTAAAAGTTTCGTTAAATGAATGCACCGCACTATCAACCATATATCGGTTGTTTTCTGGAAAATGGGAGGACCAGAGATAGAACGGACACAACCGTATGCTACATAACCCGTCAGTTTTGCTTGTGAACGAGATCACGACTGCTTTTAAGTCGCAGACGTGCACCAGGGGACAATGTCCGTTGGGGTTCTGATCATAAGAGGCTGTGTGACGTACAAAAATAGCTTGTGGAATTTACTTGTTGCCCAAATGTTACCAGAGAGGAAAAGTGCAGGAAGAATTTGGTTGGTGTTAGGTATGGATTTGAGTGTCAGCTAGAGTTCGAATGGCGCTCTTTAAGTATTGTATGAAGGTGACATTTCAGGCTTGATCGCTTCTTTAATATGCAAAAATACTCATGGTTTTGGGCTAAATATCGCTTGTTCGGTGCTAGAATATTGTTCTTTGGCCATCACCTGACTTTTAGTCATTCAAATCTGTCGATTATATTAATATCAGTTTGATGAAGGCGGCGTAGTACCCAATACTGTATTTATAGCTACTTCGACAAATATTTGCCTAATGCTATGTCGGTAATTGGAAGTTAAGTAAAGGGATGTCAATATTCGAGGCATATATCTGTAAACCAGGAAAGTGGATTCAAGTCGTTATCATGATTCCCATTAGTTCCAGCAAACTTGCGTTTGTATAAAATGAAAGACCTATAGACGTCCATTTATCTAAAATGTCGATTCATAAAAATATAACGTAAACAAATATAATACTTCCCCTTCAGGGACCCTTGGGTTGTAAGGCAGTAGGAGCTTACTAATAGGAATTCGCACGGTAGCTTATTTATACTCATGTTTTTCACGAAATTTATCCGCATTTAACTTACGATCCACAATGAAGTCGCTTCGCTCAGTTGGTGGCTGGTTTTACTGTCCTCTTTTAGAAGCGTGCATGACAATAGACGTAAATGTCAGGTATTACTTTGCAAAATTCCTCATCATATAGAGATGTATATATAAATTGTTTGATTAGAGTCATGCGTGTCAATGTTATTTAACTTTTGGTTTACATCGTTTGTGAACACAACATCGTACCTGTTAGACGTAAAAAGAATTAAACGGTTTGGATTGAAACATTATTCACACTGAGGGAATTTTTATAAGGCGCTCACTATATTACTTCCCAACTACAAAATTGGTTTTACAAAAAAATAAGTTAGATTTCCAACTACTGGCAAACTCGGGATCTATGCGTTTAGTCATCTATGCTTCGATTATTCTTTTAAAAACTAAGTTTGACATGCGAGCATGGTCAGAAAAGTTGTGATACAACTTTCGAAAATCAGGACTAGTAAAATTTGTTCATTATTGATTACATTCTCGAGGTATGATTCCGGTTTAGTTAAAGCAGTTCCCCCTTGCAGTCACACCATGAGGTTCAATCAAGAAAAACCGTACGTTAAATTAAAAACCTTAAACTTCCATTACCTAAGGACTATCAAGAAGTGCGTTTTTGGCTTAATCATGTATTGTCGTAAGTCGGGATTTCGCCAGAAATTACAATAATGTACATAAGCACAAAATCTATCATTGAACGTAAAGAGGCGAATAAGAGGAATGGGACGAAAAGTTGCCAGTTTAAAATGATTTTAAACATACTGTTAAAATGTCAAAATTTGCGCGAAAGTCATGTCTGTGACTTAAATCATAATCGTGCTTACCGTTTTATGAAATCAATCAACTTATTGCGGATATCTTGGAGTAGATGTGAAGGTATTTAACAATGAAAAAAGGCCATTTATTACCCAGCTTGAACACCATGTTACTAGTGCACAGAGATCTTATGCAGTTGTAGTTCACTCACTGTAGTGGATGAAAAAGAAACCTGAATTAAGTTAACTGAAATAGTAGAATTTAGTACACACACTTCTAAATCATTACTTTATTTCCTGAAGAGCATTCTATGCACACTGAATCACTTTTATCTTTAAATATACAGAAAAAAATTCGTCAATATAATCAATGTTTAGCTTTCAGAGATATATTCGCACGGTGCTGATAATCTTCGTGAATCGCAATGTACGTAAAATTGAACTCCTAATACTCAATAAAATTTTGTTGCTCCTGTTTTTAAAAGGGCAGAAAAGCATATAAACCAAATTTGTCATACTGAAAAAAAAATTATTTTACTTCCGTAGAATAAATTTAGTGCGTTAAGAAGAAATAGGAATGCAGATAATGATTTTCGAGCCTTTTTATAAAATAAGCAATAATTTTAACAAATCTCATTTATGGTTGTACTTATGTTAATCTTTATGCATAATAAACCATGTCAATATTTTGCTGTAATAATGGTAATGTTTGTATCAATAAATTTTCAAGGTGCTTAAAATTTTACCATTTTGTATATGCTTTCCATCCAATAAATTTGCAGATCGCGACCGGTTGTTTTGTCTTCTGGATGCGTCTGTGCCGTATTCTATACTCGTTGCTTGGACAGCATGCTCCGGCGAAACTATTGCCACAATTGTTCCAAGAGGCTGTTTTCAATGAAGTCAACATTCAAATGATAGATAGAAAATTGCAAGAAGTTCTTTTTTCTAAAAGGATCCCATCATATACCGTTTCCAAAGAAGCATGTGATAAACTCAGTGAACATGGAATTAATGCGTACGAGCGCAGTGGGGGTGATGCAGCAATGTACATTAATTTACCGCCCTTGTTGGGACCTGATGTTAAACACCACTTCGAGGGAATCGCGTCAGAATTATCCAAACCCTATTTTAATTGCATTCGTAGTCTTTCCAAACTTCCTAAACCTCCAACCCACTGGAAATTCATCCCAGGCTGGACAAGCTACGCAAACGGAACTGCAATCTCTGTTGATTGTCCATCTGAAGAGGGATTAGTTTTTGACACCGAGGTCCTAGTTAAGGAAAGTAACGCTCCCATTATTGCCGTTGCGGCGTCTGTGAACGGCTGGTATCTATGGGTTTCCCCAAGACTTTTCGAACCCCCTGTGGAACCGACGAATATGGTTACTTTGGCCGATCTGATACCGTTATATAGTCCAGGAACAAGTTTGTCTTCTCCTAAATGCATTGTTGGACACTTTGTCAGTTACGATCGGGCGCGCATCACCGAGGAGTACCTGACTGATGTAAACACGATAGAATACATTACTCTTTTAGCCCACAGGGCTTCGGTTTTTAGATACGATGTCTTTACACATATGCGTTTCCGGTCTAACTAGTACGCAGAGGCATATAAAGATGGCTTCTGACAAACATCTCTATAATAACAAGCTTTTTAAGGACTTTGTTGCGGAACTCAATGCTAAACGTGGTTCAACAAACCAGTCTGACGTGGAGGTCTGGGTTTTGAAACCTAAATATTTTCTTCTAGTCTTTAGAATGGATTAAAGAAGCCAGTTTAAATAGCCTTGTTGAAGTTTACAAACTCTACTGTAAGAAGGATCCGCCTCAAGATAAGTCATTGCGGGTTATTTTCGAAAAAGGTTCTCGAAAAGACGTCATCAAAAATTTTCAGGTAAAACTGTGTTTAGGTTTTCTTTAACCACACTTTTCTATTGAGATTTAACCGTTGATCGTATTTGCTTTTAGAAACTCGTTACTTACTGTGCGCTTGATGTCCACATGACATTCGACATTTTTCAGTGTCTCTGGAAGCTTTTCACTGAACGGTATCCTCCTGAATAAGAGTGGACTAATTATCGCTATTTTTCTAGTTTTCCACATCCACTAACATTTTACGGATTGCTAGAAATGGGCAGTATGTACTTGCCTGTGAACAGGTCGTGGGTAGATTTCCAAGAACGAGCTAATCAGGCCTACGCTGATCTGAACACCAAACAGAAGACTATGCTGCAGAAACTGGCCGAGGATGCATTAAAAAGGCACAACGGAAATGACAAAAGGTAATAGTATAAGTTTGATTTAGAATTAGTTGTATTGTAATCCTTATCGAATAATTGCCTCTGATTTCTCTTTAGCTACGAAAGAGATCCTTGGCTCTGGGACTTGGATTGGTCAAAGCCCAAAAAACCTGCATCTGTAATTTGTTTTGTTTTTTTTTCATTTTTCTATTTTGTTCTTTAATTTACCATGTCTCATTGCATTTTAGAAATCAGAGGACGCCCAATATATTGCTTCTTTGCCAAAGTATGCTTTTCATATATTCCACATTCTGAATATTTTAATGTATCCTTGTTAAGGTGGTATCGAGAACTCATTCCAAAACCGATAAAGGATCATTATAAGGAAGGACCCACGTTGGTAACAGCCCAGATGAAAATTGCTCCCAAACTACTGCGACTTTGCTGGAATGGTTTGCCTTTGCATTTCGATCAGGTATAAACGTGGGTTTACATTAATTAAAATTTGTAGACATTGAAATGGGGTACGCTCATTCCTGGACGTGTCCCCAAGCCTGTTGGAGATCCTCAGTTCTACAAACAGAATTCCAACCTTAAAGAAAATCGATCGAGTCATGCGCTCAGTATTCAATCGCCACAATCACAAATTTTACCTAGTATCACGGTCGTCAAAACCGCTGCGGCTGGTCCACGGCTACTACAGTTTCCTTACAGGTTCATTCTCTTGTGTTTGAGTACATTTTTAAGCTTATTTGGTTTATCTTTAATGAAGCCATACTCTCGATCTTTTGATGGTTTTGTTTACACTAATGTTTCTTGTCATACAGGGAATATCTCCAGTACTGGGAAAAAGAAATTGAAAAACGCCTTTTTGACCTGAATTCACGCGTAGCATTTAAAAATCGTGTAGACCCGACCCCCCGGGACAAATTCTTGCTAGATGAACTTCGTCGTAGCGTCGAAGTAATGCCTCTGGACTTCGATGTCATGCATCGCCTAATTGCATCCTTTAAGCAAGTGTCGGAGGAATGTAAAGTGGAACAATTTGCAACAGAAGTAAGTTACCAAAATATTTAATTGTTTTGATTATAATGTCTGAATTTTCAGGGAAAATAAAAGGGCTATCCTTTTGGTATAGACCAACCAATTTGTTCGCAAGTGTTCAGTTTGAAACGCATGTGGTGCGTTAGTGCTTAAATAGTTGAAGCAGATCTAAACTAGCTTTTATTTCCTCTAGAAACTGACATTACCTATCTATGAATATTTGGGCGAACTCCAAGTAAGAAACCGAATTTTTCCATACCAAACTTTTTGTCTCGTTTCTATGTGTAGTTCTCAAACATTTTCATATTTACAGGTTAAAGGTGCCCTGTTTTGGCAAAACAAGCATCGCTACGATACACGACGGTGTGGCATGGTTGGCCGTCAAAAAATTCATCGTCGCACAACCACAGATACAATCAATCCGGAAATTGCGACCTGTTGGTTTTGTCCACTCCCGAATGAGGTTGCGTTTAGTGTATTACCCTGTTTTGTAATTTTTTGGATGACAATGGCCTGGCGGTGCTACACATAGGCTGTAGGCCAAATGTTTCTTCGAACTGGATTTCGCATACAATTTTAACATTGCTTTAAAAGAGTTGTCAATAAGGGATCTCAACTGGTCTGTGAAATAGTCAGAGGCTGTTGTATGGTTCTGATTCGAAAATCTGTCCAAAGCCGAAGTACGCCCGAGCGAGATTAGTGTATTTATTGTTAACATGAATTATAGCCCACATCGTTTAGCTTTACTTTTGTGGCTTCAGCTAACCTGAATACGTTAGACCTGAGTGTGCAGGGTTTGCGTCGTTGCTTCACTAGCGCCTTGTTTGTCTTGCTCGCCTGTAGGGTGGCCAAGGTTTGCCTGTGGGCTCACCTCTCTCCAAGCCCTTTCAAGTGCACATCGCCTCAGGACGCCTTCACAGTGCTCAGACATCCGGCGAAGGCGAGAACCAGGCTGCGGATCAAATTTTGCGAGATCGCATTCGAGCCTCCTTTTGGCAGAGCTATTCGAAGCGAGTCATGTAAATACTGGGTATAATATGCTGCGTTGACACCGACACGCACACATTCCAGTCTAATTCATAAGTGGGCAGTTTCCACTAGAATGTCCGTCCACTACGTACCTCTAGCCCTACTATTGTTCTTGGTGTAATGTATTTCTGACACTTAAGTAAAGTCTATTGCAGGTGTATATACACAGGTTGCGCTTTTTGCTGTCAACCTCAGTTTCCAAGTAGACTTTTATTCCATCCAACTCTTGTGCACGATTTCAAGGCTTTCATATCTCAAGTCCCCTTTTGGTTTTAGTAGACATCAATTATCCAAATCGCTGAAACAACTTTTATTTCCTATTTTTAGGTCGCAAATGTATGTCTTTCTTCCAACACGCTTGTTGCCCCCCACAGTTCAATCGTAAGTCAATTGTATCTGTGCTGTTTGTCAAACCTCACTAGAATTTCAGAAAATTGCCTTAATGTTGCGGCGTATCAATCCATCCTCAAATACTGGATGCACTTTGCCCACATTTTGATTGCGCATAAGGTCATTATGCATTAAAACGGATGCATGGGGTCTACTTGATATACATTTGCGAATTGTCGATTTGACACTGATCTGCATCTTGTTGGACCTACCACTGAGAAAATGATTTTCTAGTTTGAAGTGACTGAGCCATTATTTGAAGGTAAATAAGCGATGGTAGGGAGCAAACTCCTACGACTTTCCTCTTTTTTTTAAAAGATACGCATTGATAAAATTTGTAACATACTAGCAGCCAGATAATATGTGCCGCCAAATTCGATTGGGCCCATTTCCTTATTCAGCTCGCTTAATGAAGAAGCAGCACCTCGTGGTCAGCTATACGGAGCTATCTTACCTCAAGTGATAGCCGCTGGAACCATCTCTCGTCGTGCAGTGGAACCGCTTTGGTTGACGGCCAGCAATGCAGAACCCGAACGTCTAGGCAGCGAAATCAAGGCGATGGTTCAGGCGCCGCCCGGATACTGCATTGTTGGCGCTGATGTAGACTCCCAAGAGATGTGGATTGCATCTCTTATCGGGGACTCCAAAGTTGGATTCCAGGGCAAGTCCTGCTTTCTTTGGAATAATTTGCGGTTTATGCCTACACCGATTGTTTTGTTGATGTTCGAACAGATATCTGTATGTCCGTCTTCTTGGTTACTTCCGAGCCATTCATAAGGTCAAATATACATTCCCAAATTTTAATGGAGGTCAGTAATCCTCCGTGCAAAAGACGTAACTTTTTATCAACATTACCAATACCCCTACTAGCGTGACCAATTCTTTGATGGACACGTTGTTCTTTATTTTGCAGGCGGAACTCCCTATGGTTGGATGACACTGGAGGGTAGCAAAGCTAAGGGCACGGATCTGCATACGAAGACAGCCAACTTGATCGGAATCAAGCGTAACGAGGCTAAGGTATTGAATTATGCCCGACTTTACGGATCAGGAGTCGAGTTTACAAAACATTTGCTCTCCAAATTTCAATCAAATATACGGGTAAGTTTGCTGCTCGCATTTCTTGCATCTGACTTCAAAGTAAAAATACTAATAGATGGTTTTATTTATTCTGTTAGCCGGAGGAAGCCAGTTTGAAGGCCGAAAAGCTGATGCGCGCTACGAAAGGATACCGCGTGTCTGTGCCCTCGCAAAACAACTCGGAGGGAAAAGTGGAGTACAAATCCATCTGGAGGGGAGGAACGGAATCCCACGTCTTCAATGCGCTCGAGGCGATTGCTCGGAGTCCTGAGCCACGCACCCCAGTGCTAGGCGCGCAAATAACTCGCGCGCTGACACCAAAGGCGGTCCAAGATGACGTAGGCTTTACTTAAACCTTTGTAAACTGGCCTCAGGGGAGAGGCTTCAGTGTGTTCGTTTTAGCCAAAACCAAATTCCTATCGCAACCTAGAAACTAACCAGTCCTATAAGTGTAAATATGCGTTTCACGCATTTTATAGTTAACTATTGTTATAAAGAGGGATGTGCGTTGGGTCAACGCAAATAAAAGCTCAGAGACACCCGGTAGAGTCGTTAACGATTAACACTTTTGATTATTTTCTTACGTAGTTTCTTCCTAGTCGGATAAATTGGGTTGTGCAGAGTTCAGCAGTTGACTACCTTCATTGTCTACTGGTGTCCATGGCCTGGTTAATAAAGAAGTTCAACCTGCGTGCCCGCCTCTGCATCAGCATACACGACGAGGTCCGCTACCTGTGCTACAAACGCTGCGCGGACGAAGTTGCCCTCGCGCTTCAGGTGACGAAAAGTTGCCTAAAAGCACAATTGCTCCTCTTTTACCCATCACTGAGCAAACGAATTTATTTTTTTCAGATAAGCAATTTATTGACGCGGTCATTTTTTGCATATCAACTGGGGATGCACGACCTACCAGAGGTATTACTACTGTCATTATTTTACGAGCTTACTTGGATGTTTTTTAAGTGTCTTTATTTTATAGTCGGCTGCTTACTTCAGTTCAGTTGAAGTCGACAGTTGTCTACGAAAAGACCCTTTAAACGACTGCAAAACCCCATCGAATCCAGATGGTCTGGAAGCCACCTATAAAATACCTAAAGGTGAGGTTGTTTGTACTTGAGTTTCAAGACCATGTCCTGATGCTAAAACGATTGTTTCAGGACCAATTTACATCGGTTTCATCATTCATTGGACGAACTTTAGCGTCTTAAGTTCCAAAGCCGTAGTAATAAATTCCCAGGAAATTAATAGTGTCTAAGTCACCGAATTTTCTTGGCATGATTAAGAGTGAAATTTGCCTGCACGCTGTTACAGATTCAAATAGCCAAATAAATATAGGAAATTGCTTAGTTCCTTGCGTTTCAGTTATTGTAGCAAAGCTTATTTGTAAGCACGTTTCAAGTTCCACGTGTTCGCGGTGCTCGCCACCTGATCCACGTGAATGTGAGGATGCGAAATCACGACCCATATCGGTAGTAGGGCGTTTCTCATTTGCTAATAAGGGCGCAATAACGAAGTCCCAAAACATTAAAGTAGCCGTTGATGAACCGTGGCTTGTTTATTTTCAGGGAAATCATTTACAATTGCTGAGATAATCGAACGAACTGGCGGTGTACTGAAATCGTTCAACGACGAAAACAATGACAATGCAGCGAACGCTTCTTATCGTGTTTAAAGATCCCTCTATTCAGATGACATTAATAAATCTAATTTTTATCTAACCTGGTTTGTTGGGTTGCCAAACAAGCACTCGACAGGCAACGGAGTATCTGGGACCCGAACCAAATCTATTAATACCGATAAGATACGGGGGTACCTCGGCAAAACACGACCCTCACACCTGCACAAAACTGATGTAGCTACACTTATCTAGGTTCATTTATGGCAATATAGACATTATGCAGCGTAATGTGATTGTGTGCGTGTGTGTGTGGAATAAGCAAGAAACTGGTGAAGTACAAAAATAAAACGTTTCTGTCACCCCGTTACGAGAGACGTTCTTCACGGAGTGGAATAGTTGCTTCGCTGTCGTCGGCTCGACTGTCCGAATCACCGCCGGAAGACGAGGTGGTGTCGTTCTGGGTGGAGGTGTAAAAACCGCCCTTCCTGGGACCGTCGGGGAGGGGAGGGCGTCCCAGTGTGACGTCCATACTTGAGTGGTAAAATTGTTCATGGCATATAAGCTGCACGATGCCGAATCCGGTCCCCACAGCTATCCAACTGGCTGAGGCGGGGTTCGGCGAGGTAGCAAGCTATGCGCCAAGACATAAACACAAGACATGACAATGTGGCAAGATTGAACCGCCCTTTTTCAAAAGCGACACCAGAACGTAAATTAATTAGCTTTGTCGAAGGAGAACCCCACTTCTAGAATAGGGCGTTGTGCATTACCAGTTTTGAAAGCCATGATGTTTGGGATCGGTGCACGAAAAGATTTAAACAATCCAACGGAATACAAGCGAATCTTCTTAGAAGCAATAGACGATTTATATTTACCTATTTACGCTAACCCATGACGTACACTTTTTTTCGCCAACACAATAACCACTTTTAACAAATCGCCTAACTACTAAAACAACTGGCTCTTGAACATTAGAAAAGCGTCAGAACCTACCTGGAGCAGATTTACAAGGAAATATTATTTATTTCTCTAGTTCACCTGTTATGACCCCAGTACATGTTCGTACACTTCTTCAATGATGCATCCAACTGTTAAACCAAACGCAGATTCTTTGAAATCGAGTTAAGGGGGAAGTAACAACTTTGAGAACGAATGCAGCTCGAGTTGATTTTCAGCCCAAGCGGCGATATCAACCGCTTATTAGTGGTAGCATGGCAAATGAAGCAGCGACATGAAGCCTTTTTAGCAGGAAAAAGGGTGTGAACAAAGTGTCTGAAGTAATTATTTCAACGTAAAAAAATATTTGGGTAATCATATAATAGTTTCTACGATGTGCACTTATAGATAACAAATGTTACGCCGTAGTTAGATACAGAGAGGAAACCAATGTGACACTAAAGAGGACAGAGTGGAGAACTTAGTTGATAGCGCAAAAGACGCACCTTGCTTATACTTGAGAAAGTGGAGTTGATGAAGTCAAATTTGCTCTTCTGCAAACCCACGCCTTCCTATTAAAGAGAAACAACAATTGTGCTAATAAAACCATTGCCAAACATGTCCTTTTCCAGTCGGAAAGATTTGACACTGATGTGTTTTGCTCTTGCTAAATTTACGGTAGGTTGGGATTTTGAATGCATCATCCACAACTGACAATCAAGACGGCCCGTCTGTTTGTGTTACGTTTTTCCCGCTGTGCTGATGCAAAGCCTCGAGCTCATAGTTGACTCCCCGGAATAAAGAGAAGACTAGTACTGTCTGAACCAAAAGGGCCGAGTACGGGATGAGCCAAAAACGGAACGACAAAACAGAAGTTTAGTAGACGCTCTGATGTGTCTGCTTAAATATGTTGAGTAAGTAACACCGAACGATGAGTTGTTGCAGTGAAGGAAGGGTGGAAACGACAATACAGTTGTAATCAGGTGAGCAGAACTTGAAGGAATAGACGTTACAACTCACAATGTTAATTCAGTCGTATTGGGAAATGCTGACATCCCCAACAGCTTGTGGCCAGTAACCACGAAAGTTAGGCATTTAGAAATCGGAAGAACACAGCTTACTAAACTCAATCACTTACGCGAAATACAAATTCAAAGAACTCGTTCACTTTGTGCCAACAGAGAGTTTGACCGCCTTCTCCACATAGTTCACAGTTTTGTCGGATTTGCTCTTCAAAGGGCTCTTCGAGGGCGTTCAATTCGAGAAAGTTGAGCTCGTCAGTGATGTCAACTGCCGATGGAGGCAGAGGCTGATCCTCGCCATTTTCGCCCTTTGGGCATTGGTGTTTCCGCTTTCGCATTATCCACTGATAGGTTCGATGGTTCTTCTGAAAGAACAAGAAGAGACAGGGGATGAAACAAATTACTCCCTAAAAGGTGTGCATCCTGACATTCAAGGAATCGCCCTGATGAGCAGGCCATGCTTATTTGTTGATCAGGAATCTCTAGCCTCAATGGCCAAATTTTCAAAAAAAAAACAACAACGTAAAACCGTTTTCGTGGATTAAGCAACAATGCTACTTAGTCACTCTTATGGACGACAGCAAAATGATTATTTTATGTATTTCCCACTAAGTGATTAGTTACTTTCAAATCTTTAAGGCAAATAACCACCGTCCACGTTTTTCCGGGTTAGAATACGTATTTATTGCGCAAGCCTTTAACATGAGATAATTTGACTTGCCTGTATCGCAATGCGAGTTTTTTCCCGCATCACACGTCGCGGTTTGGGCACCCAGGAGTGGAACCGAATTTCGCCGTTGGTGTCGCCCTGGGCCAGGAACGCCAACGATTCTGAATAGTCAAGACACTAAAATATCCAATTCACAGCAAAATTACTTACCAAATAGTGCCAAATCTTGAACTTAAGGCCACTAAGTATGCTCTGCGACAGAGCCAGGCCTTATATGACCGATTCGAAGGCTGATTAAAAGTGTGAATAGCTTTAGTTGAACGGATATACACACTACCTTTCAAAGTGCCCAAGCATACTGAAAGTCAAGCAGACTACTGCCTTCCCGAAATCAAGTGATGTTATTTTGCATCTCACAAGTAGCTACATAGTCAAAGTGGTTGGGCGTGGTGAAATTATGATTTTAGCAACATCACAACATTGGTACACTAACACAGAAGTACAGGGATCGGTTAACGTATCTGGACGCACATCACAAAGTGAGGCGATGATCGATGCGGATGCAGTCATAAGGCCGATTTCGTAAAACGGCAAACCCAAAAGTACCTGAAACCTGAGTTCACATACATGCCACACTAGATAAGCTTAAATTCTAATCCAAATTATTCTTTAAGCACGACTAGTATGTGAGAAGTGAAGCTATGATTTTCACCCAGCAGGATAAGTCTTAGCGCCAGCTGGAGAACGCACCGTCGTGGCTTCGAATCCTTTTTCAAGACAGTAACGGGAGCATTCGACAGGGCTGACGATTGGGAAACAGGCAGTGTAGGCTCGCATACGAGGGGGCACGTCAGAAGGCTTCTTCAGTCCAACCAAGGAGACTGCTCCCCCACGAGCGGAATTATGGGTGAAGGAGAAAACGTACTCCTCTCGACCCACCCAAAGGCAGTCCCCAGGCCGAGGCCACACAACGCAACCGCCCCAGCCCATGTGCGTTGTGGGCCAGGTGAGCTCCGGCAGACCGGCTTCAATGCACGCGGGGTCCTCGAAGTCCCAGATGTTTATGTCGCGGTCGAGGCCTTTGTGAGAGATGAGGAGCCAGTTTGCATAAAAAAACCAGTGCAATTTACCCAATCAACCCATCCTAGACTTATTGCTTTTCACGGCTTACAAATCGGTAGTTAAATTGATAGGCGAGCGCGTTATTAATTTGTTATAAGCATTCTAATTTTGGCCTAATTTTGCACACATTTCGACCCAAACTGTAATCACTATCGTATATCAGATGGCTACGACGTTTATCTTATCGAAAATAGCACAAAAACTAAGGCCGATGGACGAGGGACACAGAGTAACACACGAAACGACGCAGTTTGTGAACAGCCAAAACTAAACAAACATACCCAGTCCAGCAACGATGCTTTCGTAGAGGGGATGCAAGGCGATAGAGGTAAAAGGGCCAGGAATTAAATGCGTAAGAATTATTGGTCGAAGGAGACGGTTGTCGAGTTTGGCAAAGTGGGTGCTCAACTCTGAGAGGTTGTAGAATGCTAGGTGTCCTAATGTAGTAAATGCAACACATTTATAACTCACATATTCGACGTTTGTAAGCTTACTTTCTGAGAAATCGTATTAGACTTCACTAAGTAAGTAGATAGGAGTCTTCACTAATTAATTATGTGTTCAATGCCAACGTTTGGACATTTTGAAAGGAGCACACGCTGTGTAACTAAGAGCTGAAGTCCTAGGCGAATTCGACTTACCACTGGTGTAGGCCACCATAAGGCGGTGGGGAAATTCGCTTCTTATGGCAAACGTGTTCGGCCAGCCAAGCCAAGGAGGAATATCTGAAATAACCATTTGAGACAGAGTCAATCCTAAATTCATATGACACGATAGTGACAGCAAAGTAACACTTCGAAGTGTTTTCAAAGACAATAAGCAACTGTGTATTGTCGACGTTTATTTTTGTTAATAAATGCCTTTAGATCGATTACCTCAAACAATTTCACCACACTTCACTAACACATCGTGAACCTCGGTCTCGTGCCTGGGAAGAAACCGTCCTTACAACGGCAGTCTTTTTGGGCAACTTGAGAGAAAAAATACCGGGATGGAAATGTGTCAATGATTGTGAAGAAAAATAAACACGCAAATCCAGTATGCATAGCATACAAAAGACAGGAGGAAATACAGCATGATGTGACAACAGAAAGAGGTTTTCAGCACACAAAGGTAGGCCGTTTGGTTCACTTTCCTGCGTAGACTTTAGAACGATGCTGTTGGTTGTCCAATTTTAATCGCTAATACCGCACTAAGAAGCAAAACGGTAGCTTCGATGCAAAAAGCACCAGTAAATAAATGTCAGGTTAAACATTACGTCTTGACTTGGACTCTACACAAAAAGATTGAATTCCGACCCTTTGAAGGTACTGCATGAGAGTAAATCCTAAACTGTTTGCATATTAGCAGCTAAATTTATCTGATTTGACTTCTGCGGTTAGGTATTTTTACTTCCCATAGCACAATTTACTTCAGGAATCGCAATGACGGATCAATTCTCAATTTACTCTTCGACTAGTAGGATGCGTGTTCCTGTTCTCTCAAGCGCCTCAATTAGAGGTTTGGCAGAATTTTACTGGAGAAGACGTGTCAATTACGCTTAGATATTTGTAATTCATTTGAGAAGGAAGCACTTACCATAACTGGGCGCCAACCGAAAAACGGTCTTCGGTTTAAACCGATACACATTTTCTGGAACACGATCTGCTGAAATTTGTGTGGGCAGTACAATTTTGAATTCGGGCGGCATATTTGGTCGGTTATCTGTAGCAGGAATAGGAAAGACACGAACAAATCCATCAGTGCAAGCAGCAATTAGATGCCCTGCTAAGGCACTTATTAGCTGTGAGGCTTGCTTCTGGGACGCCTCTAGTGAGGGGTAGGCCAAGGGGCAGCTTGTTTCCTCCCCACTGGAACAGTTATTAGCGCATTGAACAGGAACGGGCAGCCACTGCAAGTCCATGACGAAGCCCCAGTCATGAGCGAGGAAAAAGTGTGGTTTTAACTGAGGTTGCGATTGTCTGCAAATGAAACATTAGGCCATTCAACGACCTCGACTGAGGGTCCTCCACCAGAATAAAAACAAAATCGGGAATACGAAAGGTGGGGTTTCTGTTACGTAACTGTAATTGAAGACACGGATCAGCAAAGCCAAAAGAGAGAATTTTCATTATGGTTGCATGAAAGAATTTGCCGAGAGTACAAGTGACGAAAGAGGTCTACCTACAGAGATTCATGGATACGATCTCAGACACCACGTTGAAACCTGCGGTGATGTGCAAGTGAAGGTGTTCCATGTAAGTATAGTCAAGCTCACTGGCACAGAATAGTTTATACTAGCACTTTGCACGAAAGAGATTCGGTGAAGCGGTGGATGCGATCGGAGGAACATCGAGTAAAGGTGGGAACACAATTTCAGCTGATTTAAGAAAATCTAACATAGGTATTAAGGTAACGTTGCGATATATTTCCGATATATTTATGGCGGAAATTAAAGACAGTCGATGAGACATATGAGTTCACCTATTAATGCCACCAAAACCCAAAGTTCGATATTTCAACCTTGCAGCAAAACGGAATTTATTTTGGTTTCACACTAAGGGGAAATCTTCATTGATATATAACCCTTAAGGTAGCAGCCGACTTACTCAGAAGTTAAAGCGAGATTAGTACAAGACCATATTTGGATAAGACCAAACCCAGCGGTAACAGGGTGACTAAGGTCAATTCGTACACCAGTGTTGGGATAAGAGGCAACAGCCAAATAAGTGGGGACGAAAGATAATGTGATTCCCTCCTCATCTGCGTAAGGAGGGGACCAGGTGAGGCATTTCACGTATCCTCCTGTGTAAATAATGTTTTTTTCTGAAAAGATAAATTCACGTTGTAAGCAGTAGAATCTGTGTAGGTAAAATTCACTGATTCAGGCAGTGGAAGATACGTAGTAAGTGTTGCATCACTCGAATTACAGCCTGGCCTCGCCAGTACCTGATACTCAGTCACCATACGGGAGGCGTGGATGCCATACCATGTAAGACTGCTGAAATAGAAGCCACTGTCTATACCTGGGCCTGTTTTTCGCAGGTCAATTTGCAAATTGGACAATGGTTCAATACTCAGGTCCGGACGACACAAAACTTACAAACACTGCAAAAGCAGCTCTTCATTATTGGCCTACTGATATCTGCGATTACTGTATCAAACAATGAAGTCTGAAAATCGGCAGAATCAATTTGGTAGCAAAAGTTTCACAGCTACTGTTGCTGGTAATTAGGGTGAAATTACGTATTTGCAGACACCTCACTTTGTCATACAAACCTACAGGTAAAAATAGAGATGATGGTTTTAATGCTGAACGACAGGTATTTACCTTGAATAAATTCATAAAGTGGGACTTTCAACCTTTCTTGCTGATCCAGGAATACCATGGCTGGGCTGGTTGTAGAATTTGGCAAATATTTTGAAATTTCACTTAATACAATGAGGTAAGCGTGTAATAGCATACTTTTCGGGTACAGCAATTAAGGAATTCAACGAAAAGAGTATGCGTTGTCTTTCAATAAACACCAAGATCTCTGATAACTCGCACTTTCTGAAGAGTTTAACAAATCAGTAACTTACGGTGGGACGAAAGAGAACGGGTGTTGATGCTTATTGCAAACAGAGGTAATGTAGTTTATTTCTTCTCGAAATATATTCAGAGCTATTTTGCGCGGCTTTTTAGAGGTGAAACCAACGCGGCCGAATGGAGGGAGTAAGTTAGTCAGAGGAGGGACAGTAGGGCCGTATGCCTTAATTTTTGTCCCATCTGGACAAGGACCAGCGTCTTCGTCGAGAGAAGTGTTCTCGTCAGCCGAAATAACTTCACTTGAACTTGGCTCACCTGAGGAAGCAGTCGAGGTGGATGATGATGGCCCAGAAGCCTGATAATCGGATTGTTCAACCTCATTAGTAGCCTCTGATTCACTTTCGTTATTACTGTCATCAATCTTAAGGCGTGAGAGGGCTTTCCTAGAATACAGGGACGTGGTGACTAGTACAAAACAAGCCTACTGAGCAGCGAGGCGTCGTGGTCTGTTTTGGAACGACATTCCATATCTGTAACGCAAAATAAAACCAAACTGCATATCTAATCAAAACAAATCAGCACAATGTTTAAGTTGGCATGAAAAAAGCTTTAAAATGTGAAATATAGAAGGTAGATTTAGCCTCTATGAAGAGGCGACTTTTTAAAGGCTGGAAGTTGGACAAACGAGCCGTATTAAATAATAAAATCTAAATTAAAAGTAATGACCATCCAGCGAGAAATATAGGCTAAAACAAAAGGCAAATAAGACAAACATGGCCCCCTATTTTCAAAAAGGCGTGTGGAGCCACAAAGCTTCCAACCACGAGAACCCATATTTCACAGATACGTGCAATGCGTTAAATCTGACACAAACTGATCAGAAATATCAAAAAGAAATTACGCTAATAAGTAAGGTATTCCACTGTAAAGACGTGGACCCTATTCGCAATGGAGTTTTTGAATTATGATGCAAAAAGAAACCAGAAAAAAGTATCGTACGGACCTCTGTCTTTCATGAAAACTTTACTTTGTCCACCAAAAGAATAAAAAAACAAACAGAAGCACGTTTCGAATTACCATTAAGGGTGTCTATAGATTTTGCTAAGAGCCGATCCAAGATATATCCAGGTGGCCAATTTACAAAGGACATAACCATGTGCAAGCCGCATTATTCGCAATTCAAACCGACATGAAACAAAAAAATATATGGCTCAAAACACCAAGAAACGTTACTGGAAATGTGTAATTGAGTACTGGTATTATGTAACGGATGACAGTCATAGTTTACCAGAACAATATTTGTGGGATGTTAAGTGGTAACAAATAAATCAAAAAAAAAACTTCTGAAAAGGTACACTTTTATAGTTAAGGATACTAACGTGATGAGATAATATATTTTTCGTTGAAAGATGAAATTATGTTGAATTCACACGAAATTAAAACATGCACGATTTAATGGATTGTTTTAACTGTCGTCTAACTGATAGCTCATGAATAGGTCTTGAGATACGAAAACTTGACGATTTTTGTTAAGAATCCAACAAACTATTTGTGATTTACGTTATCTTACTAAACAAGGGATTTGAAACTGCAGTTTGATTACTGTTACAGGTTCTTTTAAAAAAATAATTTTCCGACATATTTTGGAGTTTTTCAAACACGACCAAGCAGCCTTTTTGCAAAATAGTTTATATCTCACTTGAGATATTAACGTTAAAATACTTATTATGTTAAGATGTGTAATAAATCATGCCATCATCACTTTGTGAAGAAAATAACTACCAAAACTGCTTGTTTACGAATACAAAGTGTAAAGTTGCATCTTTTAATCTGATTCATAAATTTTTATGAATCACACTTCAAAAAATGTGTTGAAACAGGGTTGTTATGATTCAGTCTAACCTAATATTCATCAAATTGAATTCAAAGTGCTCTGCTTGTAATATTTAAACCGATAAAATATTCACTGTCCCTGCTAAGGAATCTTAGCTTCCAAATGATTCTGCAGAGAAATTTTTTGATGACTGTATTATTACAAGAAACCTTGGTGTCAGTTCCATGGACGGTTGAAACGTTGTATATTTAATAAACGTCGCTGATTTGAAGTTTCTTTAAAAATATAAATAAAAACTGAACTTCAATTGCTTTGCATTGCATTGCATTGCATTTAAAGGTATGTTTCACATAAGTATGATAAGTTCGGTGAAACACGTTAACTGGTTACTTTTATCAAGAATTCCACAGATTCCATTCTGAGTTACTTTTCCCAGTTCCCAATATGTACTTACCGGCTACGATAACCCATTTGTTAGAATGTTATATACCGTCAGGGGATAACTGGTAGCGCCAACTAAACCTAACCTTCCTTCAGGCTCTGTTTACTAGTACACTATAAACATGCGCATATTTGCACATCTTCACCAGAACTGCAAAATTATACCACCGCTTAATTGTCTACTGGCCTATTATCCCTAAAAAGAACTCAAAAAGTGTTGTACATCTCGTTGTGTTGTCAACTTAATATTTTTCGGTCCTCAGATACCCCGAGTGCAAGTGGATCCATCGTCATTCAGAGGTCTCGAGTGAATTTTATTAAAGTTCTTGCATTAAATGCAGCAATTTCCAGTCAGTCTTTATGTCTATAGACCACTCACAAAAGGTCTTCCTCACTCTCAGTGATCATTTTAATATTAAAAATTGAGTACAAGTTTGTAAAGTCTTTGAATCTCAGACTGGTCTGGAAATATGGCATTGTCGAGGCGATAATACACACTCACTGGACTCCATTTAAGCCAAACAATAAACTTAGAGGGATTTGTGAGCATTTGTAGCAGTCTTTCTTTTTTTCTTATGAAGTACATAAATTCTGAACAGCCCAGTACCGTGTTTATGTATTTATATCACCCATTATGAGTTCACTAAAATTACCATCAACGCCCTAGTTTTGATGTTGGTCGAACGCGGTGCACTCTGAACCATCTGCTTAAGTAGTAAAAGTAATAAGGCTCAGTGAGTTGAAAGACTGACATTAAATTCGACTTCTGCTATCGGAGTCAATCAAAAAATTGAAAAGAATTCATGGATATCCTTGTAGTACTGGTATGCACCACATTTACATCAAAGTACAGGTAGTCTCCATACAATAAAAAAGGGATTTCCGTTCTTACGCCGCAGTTCTCATCAATAGTAAGATTATTGCATAATTTGTTTTAGTCCTTTTTTTAATCTGCTATGATGATTTATGCTCATTCTCAGTGCAGGCAGCCTAGAAATGTCAAATCACATTTCAGCATCTCTTTTTCTATTGGTTCACTGTTTTCTGTTGCTGAACTGATTGCCTATCGAATTTTAGCTATTGTTTTAATTAAGTTTTGCCAAAATGGCAAATGACAGCATTATTATTTTTTATGTTTAACGGACATATGAATTCAGTTTAAAAATTCTTACTATTGTTTGGAGTTATTTTTGCATTCTTGGACAGTAAACGGATTTTTCAAACAAGACGCATTACGGGAATAGAAGAGCATCTCATATGTATGCATGCTTTTGTTGTATCCAATTTAGAGGCAGCCTGCCCAAAACCCCCGTCCAACGAAGATCGCAAGATTATTTTTGGTTTCTATCAGTTTTGGTCATGGCGGCTGTTTTGGGGAAACTTTCATCTGTTGTTGTCGGCATCACCGCGCACCAAAAACACTGTTGCGTGTTGATTGAACTCCATCTAGTCTAGTCTCAGATTGTCTTGCGTAAAGCCTTTGCTCTATGCTGTAGCTGTCTTTCATTAATTTCACATATACGCTCTTTATGAGGGTAAATTGTAGTAGTTTATGCAGCTGTGCCCATATTTTTATGGTTTAACAATGAAGGAACGCTACTGTATTTCTTGCATTACTGTTATTTCAGCTTCAACCCCATTTAGCATGTTCGATGAGGAAGCATGGAAAGAAACAGGAAACAAAATTTCCATAAAGAGAGATGCGGGTCTAGAAACTAAAAAGTTTGGCAATTTCTAAGGTCCAGTTCCTCTTTAAAAAACTGCCATTTTGCGATAATTTCTCAAGATGTTATCATAAAAGTTCTATAATAAATGAACAAGTGACGCTTTACGGCCGACTTTAGTTCACAATTCATTCAAAAAACCTTCCTCTAATGCATTTGTGCAGATTTCAAGCACGTTGTGAGGCCGATTTGGTTCAATAAGCGACGGGTTCTCACTGGCTCCGCCTTTTCATTATCACGACGCCGCCTTGTCGCTGTATCGGTGTTGGGAAGGTGGCATTGGCGTATGTCAAGGGTTGCCCTCGATTTCAGGTCATGTAAGCTCCTGGTCAAAAGTTGAGCTTAATAGAAGAGCATCGCAAATATTTGATTCGGACAACCTGCTCTCAGAAATTATAACAAATAATAGTAGGTAAAAGTTCTACTGATATAAGGACATTCGTCATTCGTGGCAACGTGATTATTGCGTTGTCGGTTATTCTGACAAGTGATTTGGCTAGCCACTACATTCGAAATTGCATTGCTGGTTAGGAGTGGCAAACTGAACGTTTCGATTGCTAGTCTGACATCTGTAGCTCAATTTTCTGCGTAACTTTTGAGACCAAAACGATTGGAAACGGTGTAATGTATTAATCAAAAGGGGTTTCATAGCCATTTTGTTAATATTCATTGTTCTTTTGGCTACAGATTTCGCGCAATCATTTCACTAGGTGCATGCGAATAAGACATATTCACAGGAGTCCACATCGTGATGACTTATAATTTTATAATCAAGACGACAATCTAAAGAAGTATTCGGTCAAACTAACCACTTAAATATCCAGTAGGACACTCGCACATGAATTTCGTCGACATGAATGACATTATAGTAAGGAATTAATTAATTCTGAGGGCTCTTGCACGTGTTCACTAAAAGAACCAGCCTATGTAGCACAAAGTCAATTGCCGGAAAAACAAAGTGCCTTTAACTGTTATTAATGACAACCATGCTTTTGGGTAAGTCGCATGCACACGTCCATGGTTGCCATTTAACTACGAAGAAGTAACGGGGAGCAGTAGTAGTAGCTAGTAGCAGTCTAGTAGCTCTTACCAATTCCACGCAAGTCGGCGTGGGCTAATAACAATTATATTTGCTCGGGGTCATGACTTTGTCCTGACTGACTTTAGTAGTGTGTTTTGCGACCTGAATGGTTTATTCCAGAACATGTTCACAAGTTTGTCTGAGGTCATGGCGCATTGGTGAAACCCTGTAAGAAATGAGGCCATCAGAAGGTGCTAAAGGGTTAGTGGTCTGTGTAGGGGAGGTACCTTAAAACCACACCCAGCAGATAGTCGAAAAATTAGAATAACAAATCTTTAGTCGATAGCCACAGACCTCTCATATGACAGTTTAAAGGAGACCATGAAACACGATTAGACAAATGTAATTGAAAAAAAATGAAGCATTATTTTCTAGCCTGCGCCCGAACTAATGGAATGCTCGCCGCAGCAGTCCGAATGCAGTCCACGAGCCAGGTCTGAATG